TTAATAATGACTTTACTAATTAAATATATATACCTAGGCATATAATTAATTAACCTTATATTTAAGAACTGCAGTTAAAGTAATATTAGTAAAGAAGCAGTGGTTTAAACTGGGGATAAAAATATCTTATAGTATTACTTTTAAAGACCTTTTAATTAAATAATTCTAAAAGGTATTTTACTAAAATTCTAAAGTATTATTAGTCTTAGCCTCCTTAAAGGAAATAGCTTTTTAAGTTTTAATTTTAATATAAAGACCTTAAAAAACTTTATTTTTAAGGTAGATATCCCTTAAGGATATTATAGCTATATTATAGTATTATTAAGTTAAGGCTATTTCTTTTTATTTATTAAAGTATAAAATCTTTATTTTATAAAATAAAAGTATAAAATAATCTTAATTTTATAATTATAGTATTACCTTTTATATTTATAAGATATTTAGTATTATTACTTTTAATTTAAAAACTAAAGGATTTATTACTATTTATAGCTTTTATAAATAGGTTATTATTTATATTATTATTATAGCCTTTTGCCTTATATCTTTTTATTTTGATGCCTTCTTTTTTTAATATATTTATAACTTTTAGTAATATAAATATACCTTTCTTTCTATTTAATTAGTTAGTTTTAAAATCCCTTTAGGCAGTAACTATTAATAAAAAGGATTTTTTAGGTTTTAAGGACTAATTTAAAGATAAAGAGTAATAATAAGGAAAAAACTGTAAGAAAATAATAACTTTTAATAGCCTTAATTATAAGTTAAGTATAGATAGCTATAAAGGTTTAATTAAAATAGGGTTTTTATTATTAAATAGGTAATTAAGTAATTAGTTTAATAATATTAAATATAAAGATAAAAAGTATAAAATTTAGTCTAAAAAAGTATAATAAAATTAAGATATTAAGGGGAATCTGTCCCTTTATATCTATTACTATAAATAACCTTTTAACCCTATTAATAAGGCTAGACCTCTTACCCTAAAATATTTATTATAACCATTACAGTAAGCTTTTATAAAGGCTAATTAAAGTAATTATAATAGACTTTATAATTTAATTATTAAAATTAAATTATATTAAGGGATTAAGGATAATAGTAATTATATTAAGCTAACCCTTTTTAGGTATAAAATCCTTTAGTTTATATAGCTATATCTTAATAATCTTTAAATTAATATAAGCTTCTTTAATAATAAAATATAAAGCCTTTAGACTTTTAAGTAAGCTTTTAATAAAAGGTAGTTATAATAAAAATAGAAGATATTCCTTAAGGCCTTTTATTTACCTAACTTATATAGTAAATAGCTTTAGGATATTAAAGAGTAATTAATAAAGGTATTATTTATATTAAAGAAAATAGATAATATATAATAAGTACTATATAGGCCAGGCTAGTTATAGTCTTAAACTATAAAAGCGTAAAGATAAGGGGGATAGTATACTGTAAAATCTAGAATAAAAGAGGGATAATTATAGAGTTTTTATATAGGTTTAGGCAGGCTGCTAAAAGTTAAAGACCTAAAGTTATAATATTAATAAAAGAGAGAGAAATTAAATTATACTATATAGTATATAATTAATATATAATTATAAAGACTAGCTAAATATTAATGCACTATTAATATAAATAGAGGATATATCTCTTTATATTCTTTTTTATTAACTGCCTTTATAGTAAATAGCTAAATTAAGGTTATAGCTAGTTATATAGTAAATATAATTATATAGCTATAGGCTATTTTATATAATAAATATTATATTAATAGCTATAATTAATATTAATAGCTAAAACTAATTATTAAATTAGGGAATATACTTTATAATAAACTTAATATAGTTTTAAAGGTTAATTAAAGATATTTTAAGTAAGCTAAAGGAATAAAGCTAATATAGCTGCTAAAGGACCTATAGGCACTATTAATACTGCTTAGTTAAGGCAGTAATTGCACCACTAAGGCAGATAAACCTTATAAGATTCTAACCGTTAGTGTAATGGTTATGGTTTTAAACAGGGAAGCTAGTCTGTATTAGGTTTATATTTGCAGGATATATAGGGCATTAAACTAAGCATGTTAGTGAAGTATTATATCTCTTAATAGTTAATAATATAGATAAGGCTTATTAAGGTAAAAATGCTTTATTAATAGCTAATAAGCTAAGTTCTATTTAGTGCTAAATAAATATATATATATACTTAAGGGAGTTATAGTTAGAATAAATAAAAAAGAGGTAATTCCTAAGAATTACTGGTAATTATCTAGAGTCACTAGTGTTTCTACTTAGTCGTTAGTAATTGCGGCTTGGCAGTTACTTATAGAAGGTTTTAGTGCTTAGTGATTATAGGTGATTAGAAGAAAAATGTGGAGTGCACGTGACGTAAGCGCTTCTTCCGTTCGGGTTATAACATTTAGGATATAGGCCTATTATAGGGGCCTTATTATTTAAGCCTTTATATATAAAGTTAATAGCTTAATAGCCTTATAAGGCTAATGGCAAGAAAAAAAAATATTATTTATTAAATATATTTACACTTTTATAGCTTACTAATCGCTAAGTTTACTTTACTTAAGGATTTTAAAAAATCTTTTAATAATTAATTTTAACTGCTATACCTAACGTCACCAAGCGCCTGCATAAGATGCCACTGCAATATGTCCTACAGAGTCTTACTCCTTTAATTGCTAAAGAAATTGAGTGTTGAATTGTCTGAACTTAAGCCCTTCTCAAATAGAGTTTCATTGTGCGTAAATGGCACTAGCCCTATCCGGTTGACGGACCCAGGTTTCCCCAACTGATGGCAGAAAAGATGGGGAATTGTCGTTAGCCTTGGGTCTAGTGCTGACATTATCCTTCCTGACACGACAGCGCCTGCACTCATCTCGCTGCGCGATTTGCATCAATCCCGCAGATCTCCGCCGCTAGGTCAAAAACGGCTGGGTCAAGCCACAAGGACAACACAGGCTGCAGGGGTTGGAAATGTGTTGCAGATTGGAGGTCACTACGTGCCAGTAGCTCCAATTGGAGAGACTTACAGCTAAGTGGTAAGTAGAGTACTTTAAGAGATACCTATCTCAAGACACCCAGCAACAAATCAGGACATCTCAAAAGGTGGGAATAACCTCTTTTCAGCCTCTTAGAAATCCAGAAGCAGGCTTTGTATAGTACAGGACCACTTTCTTACATTTGCAACCCCTGCAGCCTGTATGACAGTCGAACCCTCGGTACGTTGAGCCGTGATTCATCGACACTTTCATTGTCTCTAGTCAGGCGTTAGACTCAAGTCCAGGCCCGTAGACTGTTCCTGGACCAGGACGGTACCTAGATAGCCTGAGATTGTCAATATCGATCATAAACTTTATTAAACCCTTGACTGCCACTTAGTTGAACAAACCATCCCTGGCTAATGCCCCCTTGGAAATTCAAGAACCAATCATATTGTAGGATTTCTCAAGCCGTCTTATAGATCCCTCAAATATTACAAGTCTTCAAGCTAAGCTACATCCATTCGCCTATCTATCTACAGGACCATGCTTAATGCCATAACTCAACCAATCAATTGGGCTATCTCCGCTGACAGCCTCTTTCGAGTCAGACTCACTGGGCGTCACTTAGACGTCACTCAGTGGTGGAATCTTGTGAGTCGGGGTACAACCGGGGCAGCTGACCTCCGTATGTCGAGGAGCAAAGGGTCATCCTGATACACCCCGGGACAGCTGTTCCTACATGCATCTCAGCTGTTCCAGCATGCATCTCAGCTGTACCCGACCTTATTTCCATTTCCGTGCGTCGGATCGGATACCCATGTAACCGGTGCGGGGATCCAAGCTCTTAAATCCAGGGTATCCCGCTCAATTGAAACCCGGTTCTCTCCTCCCGGCTTCACTCCTTGTCAGTCAACCATTATCAACCATTCTCAACTCTATATACCCAAGACCAGTATGGCTCAGTACGATTCATGCCTTGCCTGCGAAACTCAGGAGCTTCTTGCAATGGAGCAGCATTCTGTTCCAAGATTTTATGACATGAATCTCAGTCATGAAGAGGACTTTGATGAGTAAGGCAATAGCTACTCACGCATGGGGTCATGTAACTGACGTTTTCATCAGAGGGTACATGGTCCCTGATAGCGAAGATTTCACAGGTGCTCCCTACTTCACTCCCCAGTCTACACAGCCTTTCAACACAAACCTTGGGTTTTCTTCTGTCGAAGAAGGCGATTTTCTTCTCACCGATCATCCCTTCTTGGATGTCGATCCCCTCATGAGCATCCCAATTACCGTGGACGATGAGTACATCTTATGCGACTCGCATCAGTCTCTTGAGATGCCATTTGCTAGCCCATCTAGCGTGGCCTCAGCTTCTGAGAATCCATCCTGGGATTTTGTTGAGCCGGTTCCAGTTGAATCTGTCTGGGATCTTTCAGCTCTGCATCCCGACTCATGCAACATCTCAGACAGGAGAAACTCAGAGCCTCTCAATCGGTCTGGTGCATCCACTCCAAAGGTCCATTCACACGGTAAGCTTACTCTGACTTGAGACGCAAACACACATTAACCCATGCAGATGAACACGAAGAGTCTTCAGCTCTATTGGCACTGTCTTTGATGGACAGCTTTCGCTACCCATGCCCTCAGGCATCCTGCAGCAAGACCTTCAAGCGCAAGGAGCACGCCAAGCGTCATTATACGACGTAAGTATCGATCCACAGCAAGAAAGAAGCATAGCTAACCGTTCCTAGCAAGCACAGGCCAAGGAATCGTCGACTTCAGTGCGAGTTCTGCGGCAAGGACAACTTGAATGCCCACCGCCGACTGCACGCTCGAAGCCCAGCAAAGAACGCCAGTGGCGTCCATTTCGTCCCTGCAGCACTTGAAATGCTGCAGAAGGTTCAAAAGCCTACCTCATATAACGGAAAGCTGGTTCGTTTCTTTTCCTAGAGTGGTCTACAAATCTTTGGACAACAGACCGGGTTACCTGGTCTGTATACGATGTTATTGCTTTTGGAGTTGGATATGGTACTGCACTGTAAGGTCGTATCGGGCTAGCAGATTGGTTGTTTCATTTCTTCGGGAATAGTCACAGATTGCATAATTATTCCCATTAACAAATTCATTTGAGTCGCGCTACGTTTACAAAGAGCCCTTCCGATTTACGACAAGTGCCCTGGAAGTCACCGTTTCCAATATAATATGTCAGTGTGTAAATCTGATTGACGTTGGGGCCATCGGTGAATCAATAATTAGGCCTGCCGAATTGCAAGTGTCTGTGCTAGTCTTTGTGGCTTGAGTAAGATTCTGAAAAGTGACCGTCAATATTGGTGGAGGGGACCTTTCGAGCCGCCATAGATCCAGAAATCTGGAGCCAAAGGACATCGAAGAGTGGAAATCCGGGAAAGGTTTACGATCTGAACCTTGGCTTACGGCGAAATCTGTCGGCGATCGTCTCGCTTATCGGCAGCTAGCCGACGATGCGCTAAGATTCCCTGAAAGGAATCGATTAGCAGATGTGGCACAATTCAATAGCCTCTCCATGGCGAGCACGTGGTGTTATGGGGTTTTAGAGCTAGCCCTCGTAGATTCAAGCCACTGACTGACTGATCGAATCAGGACGATCGACCAATCAGACGTCGGGACTGACATTGTCCGAGTTCAGAAACGGGTCGGGGATTTCTGTCTGCAATAAGATTTACTAGCGTTAGTATGTACAATTCGAATCATCGCACTTCCGGCCAAGGCCCAAGACTAATTGGTCACTGTGGTGTTAGGCGATCACATGTGGCATTCTATACTGTTTGATTGAGCAACGACATTTCCCCTAGTCTGTTCAGTTTTCTACCCACACATGTCGAACTTGCTGTACCATGCGAGGATATTCTTCCCTTTGTGCCAGGGCCTTGTATATCCTACGTTCTTTCCCCCCTATACGAGACTTGCTCGCTGGCACTTCAACCTGTTATCTAAGTTCATACCGGATTAGCATTCCCGTCTTTGTTATCTGTGCAGCGGTCGATAAAGCAGCAGTAACCTGCAGTGTTGCTGTGGCACGCACACCAGAGGGGTCACATAAGGGAGGGTTGAATGAGCCTTGACTCTATAGCAGGAGGGGGTGAGCAGAGCTCCTTATATACAAACGGAGCATCTGATCCTTTTCAGGTAAGCTAAACCGATTAGGCTACCTTACCTTTTGACGGTTGCAATCAGATTCGCAATTCTCATCCCTCCAAGTTCTACTGCGAAACAAGGACGGCGCGCTCTCCACTATAGTCACGCTATAACACCGGTGTATCTAGCCGCAGTAAGTTCTATTTGTTCATTCTAGCGTATTCTGCATATGGCGTCCCGGCTAACGGGATGGTTTGTCGATGGCTGAAGAGTGTTCAGGACCAGAGATGGAAGTCCCTCGAGCAATCAGCATGAGCATTCCAGTTGGTGATGTTTCCATGTCTTAACTTGTTCATCCCATGTATTTGACCTTGATACTACTGGCAATGGTCCCCGCAGCCTCTTACAGCTAGGCACTCCCCTCGACCATAGACACTAACTGTAGATCAAAACCCCTGAAATTGGCAATGTTTTAATGGTCATTCAAATGCTCCATCAGTATAATAACGACAGCCCCAGGTGGTACCTAATCCATATCGCGAGATGGACCGCTATGCTTTTCTCGAATCCAGCCTCGAAACCTCTTAGATCAGCCTATCTACACTCCAACTCAAGTCACAGTCATTGATATTTATCTTGGCTGCACCAAATCGGCAGCAGCCCAAGTATCTTCACCGGCTTTGGCTCAGTGAGAGTCACTACACTAACTTATACACACTAATTCTCATCGCCATCAGCCTAGACTTTGGGAGAACCAAAGCAGCCATGGCAAATCGGGACCTAGGGGCTGTCGGTACAGTGGCCAATGCAGTGCCAGTTTGCTGGACCCTCCTCCATTTGGCCCTCTTCAACACTCTACTTGAATCGTCGGTTGCATCCGAGACAATGAGATGTACGTTATTATTTGTGGGTTTCCTCCTTTCCTTGTTCTATGTTGGGGTCGGTACTCGGTATGAGGACAATACGTGCATGACCCACGTCCACAGTACAGGATCAAGGCTGAGACAGATCTATAATACAGGGCTGTATAGGAGACACTATGCAATAGTGACTCTAGCCAAGAAAACCCATATTGAGAGTAATACAGGTGTATGAGTAGTGACAAGGGTGAGGCTAATACAAAAGTTGTATAGGAACAAATCAATTATGTTCCAGGTTTTTACAATACAATCAATTTTTTGAACTCGTCGTTTTGCAATCATGAGCACCAGGGGCGCAGTCTTAGGACCTACCAACATCCCTGATCTTCAATCTACCCGGCTTGTGTTAGTACTGTGGTTATAACAGATACTACTCCGAACTCAGGCCCCTTACAGCTATCGCGGCGACAGACACAACTCCAGGTGGTGATTGTAGTGCCTCGGAGGCATGACTCACCCAAAATGAGTATTTTTAAGATGCCCTTCCGCTTTCCTATCCAGGACAAGCCACTAACCATCAGTCCTCTTTTGGTCGACCCTCATCCACAAGGGATTATTTAACTTTCCAGCCCCGACCCTCCTTTTTCTGTTTAAAAACGTAAGTCAAATTCGCTAATTCATCCCTTGTCCGAGAGAGCTGAAAGCTGTCCTACAACTGTTGGGTTATGAAATCTCAAGCCACTTCGTGTCACGCAAAGCCGAAGAGTTTCGGAGAGCTGTTCCTGTGGCCATCAGAAATTTCGTCCCAGCACAAACCCTCTCGATGTACGATCTACGGGAGACACTGCCACCAGTATTTTCGACAAGTGGCAACCCTTGTATGGCAGGGCGCCCGGTTCCACATTGCTAGCACTATGTGGAGTGAGTTGTCTTGAGCTGAGTGATGCAGCATGCTTTACGCATAATACCCACGAGATATAAATTGCCCTTTATTCAGAGTTGACCAATTCATCCCTTATAAATTTCCAGAATCCTTCTATCATATCTTTGGCAAGCTCTACTTGACACTACTCACTATGAAGTTCACGGCGGCAGTCGTCGCTCTCAACCTCCCCTCTCTGGGCCTGGCTTCGGTTTACAATACCTGGAAATTTAACAAGTTTCCTTCTGCTGGAATCGATGACATTACCTTCCCTATGAAAATGCAAGGAACCCCCCGAGAAGAAGGTCTCTATTTTGCCCAGCAGTTTGGCTGGAAAGGGATCAATGACGTCGGATACATCGGCCTCCAGCCTCGGCCTGACAAAAATGGCAAACAGGTCATTCATGCTGCCTTCTCTTCGTTCCAGAAAGGAACCACATCCACGCACAAGCACTGCACGGCGGGCGCTGACGGTGGCGCCGGACTCAGCTGTGCAATCGACATTTTCGGCGACTACTCTCACCTCTACCACCTTACCGTGAAACATATTGGCGGTACAAGGTGGAGAGGTGTCCTTACCGATACGGTCACTGGAACGTCCAATGTCATCGGCGAGTACACGCTTCCGTCTTCAGCACGAAAGATGACAAATGGACAGGACGGTTTCTTTGAGTACTATGAGTGGAATACCGATGGGATAAAACACCACAACTGCCGCTCGCAGCCCTTCGGTCAAGTCTTCATCGGCGACCCTACCACCAAGACATCAGGAGCTAGTGGTGGTAAAATCACTAGGATCTATCAAGACGGCGAATGTGTCAACAAGCTCAACTTGAAGGCCACCAGGTTTGCCCACGGTTATCAGATCCAGGCTGGTTTCAAACAGTAGGGTTGATCTTCAGTATAGCCAGGCATTCACGCCGGCTTTCCTGTCTTTGCCAGCTTTGAAGGGATATCATACAGGATCGAGGAGCTGATCGCATGCCAGGAGTCAAATCTCCTGTAGCGGCATCAGGAGGTTCCCCTACTTTAAATTGACTTTTTGTTCTATTTGAGATATTGCTTGCTCCCGTGCCCTTTCATGAAGTGATATACTTCTCGAGGTTGCTAGTCGATGCAAAAGTCACTACACAGTGCAAGATAAACTTCAGTTCATGCAGAATCAGTACATAGGACAGTTCTCGAAAATCCTTCTCAAGCGGTCAAGCCTGACGCTTCCTTACAAGACTGCAGGGTATGACAGTTCCAAGATCGAACAGATTAAGCCTGCTGGCGGTGATATTGTAGCTATAGCTTTCTTATGTGTCTCCATTGCTGCGATAATGAAGATATCTCGTTTGCTACACGTAATAATAGCTATCCAATCAGTCGCGAACCTAAACTTCAACAAGGAGCAAGAAAAGCCATGGTGAGACTGATGTGTGTGTATTGGCAGTTACCAGAAAGGGGTTAGGGCCCCAGAAGCCAACACCAACTGCACCGAACCCAGTAGCAGTATATCTTGACTAAGTTCTGCTAGCCTGTGTCATTGAATCAAAACCCCTCAGCTTGGGGAAATTGATCATGTTATGATAGTCACTCTATTCTGCTCCACTAGCATTACGACGATAGCTCCACGATGTAACTGGGCCTTGTTAAGAGACGGAATACTACCCTTTTCTCAACTTTGGTTCCGGGCTCTCTTCAATCAGCCTATCCACGCTCTCGGAAAGTCAATGAATTTGGTCATGAAGTTTCTATTTAATTCTCTGAAAAACTAACAAACTTGAATGATTAAAGTAGTAGACTAGAGAGTTTTAAATCTAAGCTTGTAGCTCGTGTAGAACCTTTGGCTTTACAGGCTGAGCATCTGACTCCACCAAGACACTATCCGGACCAGCATCTGCTTCCGCCATCGAACGAGAGGACTGTTGTCCATTTTTTGGAGGACCTTTATCTTCTTCATCTGCACGACTTGAAGTTCTATCCTGTCGCGCCCGTCTCTTTCGACGCATGAACCACCATCCCAAACCTGATAACAGAGCCAGACCAGCAACTCCTCCAACTACTCCACCAGCTATAGCTGCCACGGGCGCCTTCTTACTGGAACCAGAGGCATGGGACGCAGATGCAGGGGGGGGGCTTTATTGAAATACGCTTCGCATTCGTGTCACAGCAATCCGCGCGTGTATCCTCTAAGTAGTTGCAACAGAATTTATCTGATCCGCATTGGTTGACTTGTACCAATATAGCTCCGGGTTCTATTGACTCGGTCAGTAGGCATCGACAAAACAAGGAAGTGACTAACTCAGATCACAAACGAATTGGCATTCGCTCATATCATCGCTTGAGCAAGCACCTTGGTACCGGAAGTGCCCTGTCCATTCGCACAAGCCATTTGGCAAGCATGGATCGCCTGGAAGGCAGCAAGTTGAGAAAGTTGTGTTGGCGGAGCCACACGGCTTATACTTGTAATCCGCCCACTCTCCGTTTTGATTATCACATCTCTGGCCTAATGCCCAGCTAAATAGAGATAGCAATAAAAGCAAGCTATTTAGCTTCATCGTAAGGAATCGCTGGTAAAGCATGCGTAACGGGCCGCTAGGGTCTGCTTAAGTGCAACGATATGGAGGGAAGGCGGAGAATAAAAGCTTAAAGAGGACGGACTTAGTTATTCGGGTGAATCTGACATGGTTCTCAATCCTCCAGGCCAACAATGACATCAATATGGTCTTAGATTCAAGATTGACAACAACAACCTTCTGATAATGCCAAGTGACGTCAATTGTCCCTCTTGGCATTTGATCTGTACATGGCCCCCAACTTGTGATTCGCTGGCTGAATGAAGCAAAAGTCCTTTGCAAGGATAAAGAGTATGAATTGAGTAGTCGCCGCATCAAATGGCCCCCAAATATTCTTTTATGTTGTGCTCCAGGCGGGTACGCCTCCGAGTGACGCTAATTGGCTTTCATGACTGTCGAAGAGATAGCAGTATGCCATGACCTATCAGTCTAGCCTTTGGAAGAACCGAATTAGTCAAAGCAAAGTGGTGCCGGAGGGCTATCGGTACAGGAGCCAATGCAATCTCAATCTGCTGGGTCCCTATAACCCTCTTCAGTATGTCATCTGCGTTACCAATTAGAGCTGAGACAATAAATTGTACATTACTAGCCTTTGTGGGGTTCTTGACCCTCTGTGGAGTTTGTGTCTTGCTTGGGAAAAAGGAGTAAGTGCGTGATGACCCATTTCATGATGCAGCTAAATGATTAGATCATGCAGGACCCAAGGCTGAAGCGGAGCTCACGATGTACTAGGGAAGTAAGGGGAGACACTATTTACGGAGTAGTTATGGCTCGATCCACAGTGATGGACTAGTTGTATTTGGGAATTCTTCTGGCCATGCAGGAATATCTATCGAGTTAATCACAAAATTTGTCCTAGAGCAAATCCCATCGGTTGATATGGATGTCTGTGAATATTTCTGTGACTAGATAGGGGCTCGGACCGAGCTCCGGCAAGTGTACGAGATAAGCCCCAGGGGCCAAATCATCACCTGTATCAATATAACCCGGCCGGGTTCTGATCCTCTGACAGCGCTGAACTTATGGAGCGATCTATTGCCATAATATCCAAGTTGCATTGAGGCAAATGTACCAATACCTTTGTCTAATTGACTTTCCAAGCGGTCTTACAGGGCTGTGAATAGCTATTGCTTTTTAAAGAATTGCTAAATCTTTATGCAGCTTATCTAGGCCAGCTGACCAGACAACATCAACCCACGCCATAGAGCGAAGCTTATCGACCAGTCCGTTCCATCTTAGCCCTTGTACTCTCATAATGCGTTGAAGCTCAACAACCAATGTTTGTCTGTCTTGTCCAACTTCCGTCAGAGTCCCAACGACTAGTATGAATAGTTCAACGTGTTCCCGACCCATCCAACCCAGTCTATGCTCCCTGTACATCCTCAATAGTCGACCTCTCAAGTGGGGAGTCACCACATTGAAGGTCCTGTTACCTGCCAGAAACGTGACAGGGCCTGAAAGATATAAAAGCACAGCCAGTCGAAACATCTCGTAGGTGATTAGACAAGATGCCAAGGGGTGCTGGTGCCTATCTGGGCTGAAGCGTGGCAGAGTCAGAGTTGTGTATACTGAAGCCTGAAGTTCTTGGAGCAGAACAGAATCTTGACTGAGTTCACGCTCAGACTTTCCTGCAGCTAGATTGGATAGTTTAAGCAGCGATGCGAGAAGTACCTTAATATCTCTGCTGCTCCTCTGTATAGAATCCATGGCCTCGTCAAGGTTGGGAGAAGGGTCGACTTGATACGTCCTAAAATGAGGTGTTTGGTCTAGGACCATAGAACCAGACAAGTCCATCCTGTAGATATTAGCATACGAAATAGAGCATTGAGATCTGCTCACCAAATCGCTGTCACTTGTAGATCACGGGAACTCAGCGTTTCTATCCCACCTCGATACTCAATCATCTTTTGCAACCCTGACATATGCGTCTTCCACCGTGTTAAGTTATTGGTGAATATCTTTTGGAAGTCAGCATAACCACTGAAAGCAAGTATTCCAAACTGACATCATAGCACGCCAAATTCACCACTACACCAATAATAGCTTCGTGAGCCATAAGCTGAGCGCCCCCAAGCTGATTTCGCAAGATTTCAATGGAAGCATTGTAATGTGTCAAACTGCTGGCGGTCTCTTCGGAAGCCCATCCTCCAGTCCGCTCAGGATCTATGTCGAGGCGAGCGAGGGCCAAGTGCATGGCGCTGTCATCGGCCAATGCGAGAGCGAAACAAAGCTCGCGCATGAGCTTACAGACTGGTGCTTCCTGGTCTACGGCTACTGCATATTGTTAGAACTTACATAACTGTTTAAGGGAATCATGTAACTAACGGAAATGGAGCATACTGCTTGTTCGTGTGGATATGGGATACCCGCTCGGCTTTGGATAAGAGCAAAGAGATGGTACTAAATGTAGTGAATGTCGGTACTCGAATGCCCATGATGTTTCTGGGGTTCTGATGCCAGGGCTAGAAATGTTGGAGCTCACTGGTGAAACTTTACATGCGACTTCTGGGTTCTGTGACAAGGACTTGAGAGATTTGAAGGTTACTTCTGTCTTGTCGTCTGGGCGTGCGCGCCTCCGAGTGATGCCAATTGGCTTCATTACATGACTGTTAATTCTCCTTTGAGTTTTCCGGTCTTTTATGTCTTGTGGTCGAGCAATGTTGACAAACATCAACTCTACTGCTGGATGGGACGTCGACATCGTAAATATGGGATGCAGGTATGGAGCAGAGAGGTGAGATGCATGGGTTATTCTGGGCGAGGTCCTGCCTTTAAAGGAGCCGCTATATTTATGGTGGTCCGTGAGTACAGTCCCTGCTGTAGGATTTGGGTGTCAGCACTAAAGCTCAAAGCAGATCCAAGTCCGCCCGCTGAGGGCGAATGGAGGCAAGATCAACTAATTTGGTATCTCCTCTACAGTAACAAGCGTGACTTTGAGTAGGCAAAGTCATCAGCATGCAGGAGTTGTTGTCAACTAGATACATTAAACAAATATCACTTCAGTTGGTAACTCCACCACTGACAGAGATGTACTGCCCTGTAATCCATCTCGCTTTCTCAGAAACCAGCAAAAGCACAGCATCAGCGATATCCTTTGCAGTCCCAGCCCTATTCGCAGCTCGTGTCATCTCGATAGAGGGCCGTTGGAATTCATCGGCTATGGCTGCAGGGATTGCATCAGTCAAGACAGGTCCAGGGGCGACTGCATTGACCGTGATGCCCTTACTGCGACCCCACTTATCTATATGTTAGACATAGAACGCATGGAATTTGGTCCAGAATCAACTTGCCTCCTTAGCCCAGGACCAAGTGAGACTGTCGAGAGCAGCCTTGGAAGCACCATATACTGGGATGTAATTATCACCAAGCTTGGACGCGATAGAGCTGATGTTGACAATACGACCGCCAGGAGCGATAAGAGGTATAACGGCCTGGGCGACGAATATGGTGCCCTTGATATTGACGTCCAGTACTTCAGATATCTGTTTAGGAGTGACTGCCAATGTCTCGCCAAAGAGCGGTACTCCGGCGTTATTGACTACGCATTATAAATCAGCGTTTAGTGGTCAGATGGCAGTGGTCTTATACGTACCAAGGATATCGATATGGTCAGTGTTAAATGCCCTCAAAGTCTCGCCAACCAAGTATTGAGCACCCTCGGGAGTTTCGATCGAGGCCTGAACAACCGCTGCTTTGCCACCATCTTCTCTTATACCGTCGGCGATGGCTTGGGCCCTGTCAGTTATAGAGTCATTGACATAGTGGATGGTGACGGCTGCTCCGTGTCGTGCCAATGTCATCGCTATAGCTGCGCCGATGCCGTTTTCTCGACCAGAGCCAGTAACTATGGCTATTTTTCTATGAAGAGAGAGACTATCGATCGTCATGTTGAGTGCAAAAGGGTTTATGTGAAGCTGAGTGATTGTCAGAAGCCCAAATGTTGTCAATACGGCTCTATTTGTATGTATGCGCCCATGCTTTCGAAACTCCAATATCTCTACAGCCTACAGATTTAATGTAGCCAAGCTATCACCTGTTTCTCAACTGGGTAAAAGGTGTTAAGACCTATTCCCTATTGAGGCCAAGTATTTCTTACCTATTTGCACAAATAGTCAACACTCAAAAAGCCCGATGTCATCGACCTATGGACCGGAATACCTCGGTTCTAAAAGTGATCCATAACTGACTAGACCTAGATAGGAAAAAGGTATCCCTGTCACTACGGCTGATCCATCACACCACTTACAAAACTACTCCACGTAGATGCATTGCTAGCCGTCACTCTTACATCGCCCTAGTGATCAACTTGCCGCAATGGATATAGGTTAAAGAAAAAGCCAGGAAGCTTACCGGAGTAAGAGAATTTTTCCAATGGAAAGATATGAACAGTCACTAGCCCAAAGTTTGCTAATCTTACAAGCTTACTTAATTCCTATTCTTAAGTTTTATAAATGGTTCCAAACTGAGCCTTTATGAACGGTAAAATCCACCTGTTGATCCGCTATACACGCCTTGTAAATGCCTGGCTGCATCCTCCAGGCCACTTCATTCTCGTCCCAGTAGCTGCAGGCTACATCAAGGTCGACCTCTAGCTTGACCAGTTGAGATACGCCTGATTGTAGCGAGACTTTTGTAAACGCTTTAAGCTCACGCTCAGGCCTCCAAACTGAGGTATCTTTTGCTGGCTTGATATACAGATGGATAACCTCTTTTCCAGATACTGCACCCGTGTTCTTAACCTCAACGTGGCATTTGAGTTTCGACACTGTCGATTGTTCGTCGACGGTAGCCCTAAGCCCGGAATAGCTGAAGGTTGTATACGATAACCCGAAGCCAAAAGGCCACCTCACTCGGCTTTGGCTATCTCGGCAACGGTATCCGACTTCTAGCCCCTCTTTATATTCAAGGTAGATACTTCCCTCTTCTACGCCCTTGGGTGAGAAGTGTTCGAAGCTTGGACAATCCTCGAGGGTCTTAAACCACGTTGTGGCAAGGCGCCCGCTTGGACAGACCTTACCAGTGAATAGGTCGGTGACTGCTCTCGCGCCTTCTTGGCCGGGAAAATGAGCGTTTAATATCACGTCTACATCGTCAACGAAAGGGCTGACGTCAATCGGGTTGCCGCAATGAAGAACTAATACCGTCTTCTTTGAGACTGCAGCCACAGCCTTTATCAGGGCTGTTTGATTCAGTGGCATGTGCATATCTTCAAGATCAAATCCTTCCGACTCGTATTGATCGCTGCGGCCAGCGTAGATGATGCTGATATCTGACTCGCTTGCCAGCTTCGCCGCCTCAGCTATAGCCTCTTCTTCTGACCGGTACTCCTCGAAGCAAAGCGTAGCAGAAAATGGGGTCGGTTCGCCGACAGCAAGTTCTTCGGGACCCTTGACGATGACATGGATGTCGTAGGATTTGCCGGCCTCCATAAAAGCCTGCAAACGAGACTCCAAAAGGATGGGGTTGAAGATGAATTGCTCTGTAGAGATATCCTTGCCTGGACCTGTCAAGACAATCTTGTCATTGATGGCCAAGGAGAAGGAGCCAGTACACCTGACTGCCAACGTATGCCGACCAGTGCTCACGGGAATCAACTTTGTGGTGAGCTGTAGATTGCAGCCTGGAACTCTCAACCCTGGCTTGAACCGGCCAAGCATCCAAACATGAGGTCTCGCCTGGAATTCAGATAGAAGAAGCTCGGACGATTCTTCGTCGTAGTACTCAATGTCCACGCCAGGGCGTCCATCAGCAGAGATTAACTGCTCTGTTGGAGCTATTGGAATGAGTCGACGGGTGCGGACACCGAGTGCGCATTTGACGGAAGGGAATTCTTGTCGCATGATATCCAAGGGCGAGAACCGATATTGCGGTATACAGGATGCACTTCCCCCTCCGGTAACAACAGGATCTGCAGCAAATTCGCCGATAAGTGCTATTTTTGGACAGTCCGCAGGTGAGAGCGGAAGTGTCTTGTTTGCGTTTTTGAGAAGAACAATTCCACTGGTGGCAATCTCCCAAGCGAGCTTGTTGGCTTCGTCGCGGATTTCCGATCGCTCGGGCTTTTGGTCATGGCAGGATCGTGTCCTGTTTCTCAGCTCGAGCATCATTTTCACCCTATTGTTGATCTCTTCTTCCGTCACGGCGCCGGAATGAACTGCTTCGACCAGTTTTGATGCCCGAAAGACTGGAAATGGCATCTCGAGATCCAGCCCAGCCTTGATAGGGCCAACTGTATCATGAACTCCAAACCAGTCTGACATGGTCATGCCCTTAAAGGCCCAGTCGCGTCGCAAGACCCTTTCGATCAGATCCCGATTGGCGCTGCAGAACTGACCGTCGATCTTATTATACCTAGAATTATTCTTAGTTCGAAATCCAATGATACAAACATTGTGACTTACGCAGTCATCACACCTTCAGGATCAGATGTTCTTAAAAGGTGTTGCCATGCTGCAAGGTATATCTCTCTCAGTGTCCTTCCGTCAATCGATTCCCTGACGTTATAGGAATGGCGATGTGTCTCTGCATCGTTGCATACGAAATGCTTTACACATACGCCAAGTCCGCCTCGATGCAAGCCGTTCACAATAGCACCAGCTAGCTGGCCAGATACGAGAGGGTCCTCGCTGAAACACTCGAAATTGCGGCCACCTCGCGGATCACGGTGAATATTGATAGTAGGTCCCAGTACAAGCTGTGCGCTTTTCAATCTCGCTTGCACGGCCAGTTCCTCGCCTAAACGGCCAAGAAGCTCAGCGTCAAATGTTGAGCCGTAGCATGTAGTGCTGGGGAAACTGGCAGTAGTCACCTCAAGTTCCATGTCATGTGGACCAATACCATTCACAGAGTTAGCTACCTGAGCTGCCGCATTAGTATATATTTTTGTCTCGTCATATCGTAACCGTGGCGTGTGAGTTTGCTTACTTTCATAGGCGGGATGCCCAGGCGATCGATGCCAGCGGCAGCATGGAAATCTCGCCCTGAGAGAAGGGATACTTTCTCTTCAAGAGTCAGCTCAGGGAGCAATGACTGGAAATCCATCCTGATTGTTTGAGCCTCTGCGAAAAGATTCGTGAACGATAGTGATGTAGGTACAAGTAATTAAATTTGACGGTGAAATTTTATATTAATCTGCCGACTGGCTTTACCCAAGTTTCCACTTGTTGGCTTGCTAATGCTTTCAGGTGCTCGGAATTCCCGTGTGGATAACGTTTTCCTCGGCCGGAAAGTAAATATAGGTGGGGTTTGTCAAAGGCTTGAGTCAGTGAGTTACAGCCGCCAAAGAGAGCAATAATTGCTGAGCATCTTTTTTCAAGCTTGCGATTTCATTAAATCTCTTGAATTCTGATTCCACGGAATTTGAGTACGAAAGCGGTATCTCTTAGAGCTCCAGGATGCGAAAGACAAAGTAGGAGATCCCCTCAGCTGTTTAGCCTCGTGTGACGCGCGATGTAAGCCATCAGCTGTAGTCTCGAAATATCCTGAAAGGGCTAATCTGGAGGACATACTGTTTACTCATTGTCTCATTGCCTCATTGTTCACCTCTGATACACTACAGCCAGTGAAGACACATCTAACTTTGATTGTGATTCACGGCAATATCCGGCAACCGCGTTTTCTCGGAGAGAAGTCCGTTCCAGTAACTCGGAGGCGAATCTGAGATCGCTGGGTCCATCCTTAACCAGAGTCCGGAAAATCCGAGAATCTACTTGTATAGCATTATTCTAGGCGAGTTTAAGCAATGTGCAAAGATGAAGGGGATTGAAAGGATGGGCAATTACCGGGGATGTGGTGGGATCATCCAAACACAGCAGCTATTATCATCTAAAGTGGTATTCTTAGGCCGGACGAAGGAGAATGACAAGACCTAAATTCACACTTACAGGTTGGCCAATTAGATTGTCGCGAGTAAAGAATAGAGGGCCCAGGCGTTTTCGTACCACATATACACTACTATTCAACCTTTTCCTTTTGCGATATTCGGCTCACATAAATCTGGCTCAAGTCTGGACTGCTTAGAGGCCTGGCCGGGAAGAGAAGTCGGTAGTATATTTGACGATAAATGAGGGGACATAGAAGAAAACACTAGCGAATTCGAGACTTCATATTCCCCAAAATCTTAAAACTTGTGGATGACCTGTAATTCCACCCGCCGCGTAATGGGACGACGCTCTGAGAATATGTTCCCATGATTTGCGGGGAATCAGCACTTACACAATCAACGTCAGCCAGGCCAAACCCCGCAGTGGTAGTAGGGGGTCCTTGACTTTTAGATCGTCCTCTCTCATTCGGCCATCTCGCCGGCCCGGAAAACCCGAGAATTTTCCCCATGGGGATGGTTATCTAGATCGTCCAGGACGGAGCACCCGAGTAATGAGAGTGCGAATAAGTTGCCTCGGCACTAGAAGCCCCCAATGCCGGATCATGTAAGAAGTATTTATATCTATACTCATGCGTTAACTTAGTTACTATCAGAAAATCGGGTCCCGGATTGATCATTGACTGTCAACCTTTAATCGTCTCCCAAATCATAAGATGGCGTATCCTTCAGGCGAAAATGTGGACAAGGCTTTTGACGTTGACCACACCGAATCGGTAGTGATCCAGGCAGATCGCCAAAAATCGCCTTGGCAATGCATCTTGGAAAACCCAAAGATAGCTGCGTGGACTCTGTACGCCAATGGTTAGTCTGACCCCATATCTCGGCTATCGGGTCTTCGAAACTCGTCGCTGAACTTTAATCACAGTTGGTTCAGCGTTGGTCGGTTATGAGAATCTCGCCTTGTCGGTCTGCCTGGCCATGCCAGCGTTCCAGTCAGTATAATTCAGCACACGTGCACAAACTCTCTATTCAAGCCCAGACTTATACTTTCTTCAGGAAGACATTTGCCTCCGACGTAAATGGTGTCCTCATCATTCCTGCCGCCTGGCAGTCTGCATGGAACGCAACATATAACGTGCTACAGTTATTTGGAGCATTTACCGCAGGACATCTTCAGGACTGGTTCGGTCGTCGAGCTGTATTCCTAGCGGCTATCATCTGCGCATCAGCAGGCATTTCACTTTCTTACACCTCACACACTCAAGGCCAATTCCTTGGTGGAAAGATAGTCACTGGCTTTGCTGTAGGTCTAGTGCTAGCAGCCACCCAGACGTATGTTTCTGAGATTGCACCTCTGCCCATGAGAGGGATTGCATTGGGCATGAATACAGTAATGCTTGTGAGTTCTGAGCCCTACGAATAACCCTTACTACAAAAGAACCCAATTCTAATTCAGTAATCTTTCAGAACCTCGGCATGCTCATTGCGATCTCCGCCACCTTCAGCCGCGTCTCTATCATGGAGGAGTCTGCCTTCCGCGTCATCTTTGCTGCAGCTTGGGCGTTTCCTGGTATCCTTGCTCTTGGCCTTCCTTTCCTTCCAGAATCACCATACTGGCTTGTTATGAAGCAGCAACATGACAAAGCCCGCCAAGCTCTTCAACGCCTGTCACCGTCTGGAGAAGATATTGATGCTCGCCTCGATCAAGTGCAGCAAACCGTCTACAGAGAGCGAGAACTTGCTAATGGAGATGTTTCCATACTTGACTGCTTCCGCGGAACAAATATGCGTAGAACTCGCATCATTTTGATCTGCATGTATATGCCAAAGGTTGTCGGTGCAGTTCTCTCTTCAAACGCGCCGTATTTTCTCAATCAGACTGGCCTTGACAGCCATATGGTTGTGACTCTGACCCAGATTGGTATCAGTATGGGTGTTGTCTCAGCTATCGTCAATCTTTTCTTGATGATGAGACTACGCCATCGCTTGCTCATGTTCTTCGGCGTCGGCATATCAATCATCATGTACCTGATCATGGGCATTGCCAGTTTGCTACCCAAGACAACAGGTTCGCTTACCGTTATTGGAGTGTCTCTTCAGTTTATCTCCATCTCGTACGGTCCAGCTGTAGGTGCATCTATGGCTGTAGCTGGTGAAGTATCGGCAAGCAGACTGAGAGCTCAATCGTTGGGCCTTGGTGCAGCCTTTATGGCACTTGCGGCCACCTTCTGGCAAGTGGTTCTACCTTATTTGTTTAACCAGGACGAGGCAAACCTTGGTGGAAAACTCGGCTGGATCTTCCTTGGGATGGCAATTGTTTATCTTGTGATCGTATATTTTGATGTCCCAGGAACAAGGGGCAGAACCTACGAGGAGTTGGACGTAATGTTTGAGAAAGGTATTCCGGCGCGGAAGTTTGAAGCATACAACTTTGAGGACGATGATGCTTAAGGACAATTCTTTCAATGTAATCCAAGCATTCGAGCACCTACTCAGACATTATATAGCTGCAAGGTAGTACTGAGGGGGTTGGTAGCTAATTAACATGCCCCCAAAACAGTGTTTTTCCGCCGTCTTATGCCATAATAGAAGTACTAGTAGGTTTCGTTGTAAAAATCGGGATATGGTTCATACCTATACCTAGTCTACCGCTTATGAATACAAGCCCCAGGCCCTCTAGGAATTGGTGAGCAGAAGAGAAATAGGCAGAAAGAGCAGGGTGACGTTGGTCCTTAGGGTACAAAACCGCTGGTCTTACATTTACTCAGGTAATAGATACGATACACCCCAGGGCATCCATCATCGATTGCCAAAGCTTCTCAAGTTGCTCACTCATCGAGAAAAGGCACTATCCCTTCTCGAATCCACCACGCCCGCTGCGCCTCATATGGATCCTCTTCCTCTAAAGCGAGGTTATATGCCTCTTCATCCGCTTCATAGTCATCCCCTTCTCTTTGCGGCAGAGGGTTAGACTGTCGCTTTTGATCAGCTTTCCACTTCTTTCGAATTTTAAAAATCCGACTCAGAGCGCCCTCCCGTTCACGGCCAAGAATTTCGTGTCCCCAGTTTGACATGACATGCACGGCGATGACTTTCGGTATCTCCCACCATAATTCGACATCCGGCTTGTATCTTGAAACCACTCTGTTTCGGTTCTCAGCAAGCTTCTTTCGTAGAGAGGTCTGGATTATATCGAAGTATTCATTCCTCTGGAGTTGTTTGTGATTCTTGAACAGTTCGCCATATGGCCCAATGCATGTTACCGCCAAGGTACTCATATAGTCCTCAGGCGGGAACATTTGCAAAAGAGCATCAACTTCACTAACGGGTTGGTAGCTCCAGATAAATTCGGTGTCGTAGTTGTGTCGTTTCGTCCCCCTGGCGATTGTCGTTTTCAGTGGGCGGATTTCGTCCATATAGGGATCTGACCATTCCACCAACAGTAGCTCCTCAAGGTGCCGAAAGAGTCGTAATACAGATGAAAGATCAGCGAGCGTGTAATTTGCCTCGGAAAAACTAGGATGGGCCAAATAAAGCGATCCTGTGGACTCCTCCAATGCGACTCTTTTGACCTTTTGCATGTCGATAGGATGGAATTGGCCGATATCCCACGCACACCCGCTAAGTACCCGATGACTGGTACCCCAATCGTCCCCACGGGAGATGAACAGGACATCTGTATCAAAATTGAACCATGTTTGAGGGCCGTGAGACCGTGAGCGAAAGGCAAGCTGATAGCCTCTCTGGATCAAAGCGTCTCGAGATTCACGGCATGTATGTAGGAGTGCAGGAATCGGAGCAGTGCTAAACAATTCAACTTCCCTACACAGTTCCCAAGCATAGCCAGGGTTCTCACTTAGCCAGTCAAGACTGATTCGAGGTGCGAGCTTTGTCACGTCCCAAGGCTGATACGGCGACTTGGTACTCGAAAAGCCGTAGCGCTCGAGTCTTGACTGCTTGGTCTGAGACGGAATCTGAGATCGCCAATTAAATGAGAAGTGTGTGAGAGACTCGTCTAATCGGATGGCGTTTGGTGTTGTACGTATACGCTCTGCGAATTCATCGTAATCTTGCTTAGCAAATCGTAGGATGTGGACAAAGCGGGGTGGCGTGGCCAAGCTGTAGATCTCTTGTCGGAGCTCTATAGGAAGTAGAGAGAAGAAATGGAACTCAGTGGGCGACATGGCGCGACTATTACGGCTGCTATCTCTATGATATGCAATGAAGTTGGTAAGGTCTTACCGCTTGAGATGGCAGCGTAAGCAGGCTGACATGGTCAGAGGGAACAATGTTAGTCCGTGGATCACCATTGGCCAAGATGAAGTGAGGAATAACAAGTATTCAGAGCATTTATGTTTCTGCCTATTCTGTCTAGTAGGGGAAGCTTCCCTCCGGGATCTTTTCCAAAATTCCCGATTTCTTCTGCAACTCATCCTGGTCGTGCAAATACGGCAAGAGAATATCCGCCCAGTGATGTTTACCCTTGTACTTTGAAGCTGCCTCATCCCAGCTCTCAATCGCTTCAGCCAGACGCCCTGGAACATGGGGCTCCTGTGCGACAGTAGTGATTGGTTCAAAGTATGTGCGAACCGTGAAGAGAAGAGCTTTGGATCTGGGAAGTCGTCGGAGTGACTGTCTCTCGGAGCGGAAGTAGAGGTCCTCGATGGTGAGACCCTTGTCATTTGCCGTTTCCCAGGCTGGGAGTTGTTAGAGTGTTCGAGAAGATGTGGAGGGTTACTTACAGGCTACTTCGCTGCTGTCTTGATCACCCATACGATGAGACCAGTGAAGGCCATCATCGAGTTGGATGAAGAACTAAATGGTCAGCGATGACTATGAGACGGGAAACATACTCACATTGTTTCTAACTACTGCCTTGTCTGGCTGCATCGTCTTGAAAAACCGGTTCATAGACTTTTGCAACTTTGTCTGGTAGTGAGGAACCTTGGCTTCAATGTGTAGAGTGTCTAGAGACATTCTGAACTTTTCACTCAATCGCCAGAAACCAGGGAGACAAACAGCTCCAGCGTCGAGGTGGTATTGGCCGTCTAAAATGTTAGTCAGGTAATAGAAGTGGCCGTAGAATTTACCTTCTTCTTCAATCATGATGATGAGATCGTCTTGGACCAATTTGGCAGCAGTTGTCATTGCTTCTTTGGGGGTATCTGATGGTCAGCTGGGTCTGGCTCTGGGAGCAATACTTACTGGCTGGGTAATTAAACTCTTCCTTGGTCAAAGTGTTGCGTAGAATGCCATTGCTGAGCTGAAAGATCTTGGGGTACCGAACAGTCAAATATGCAGTGAATTCCTCCAGAACCTCAAAGCAGGCATCTCGAGTAACAGCGTTGTCAACATATTGAACATGCGCATCGATGTCTTTCTCGAGCTCAGAGACCTTGAGATCATGATACCAGATAAAGTTGGAATCCATCTCAATCCAATTATTCCAGTCCATCTTGCGAATGCCCATGGTGACGTGATTGGGTCCATGGCGACATGGTCGGTATAACTCGGGTTTCTTTGCGTCCAGATCGAAATCGACCAGAGGCTTCGGTGAAGGTGTCTTCCATTCAACTTCCGTTTTGACTGTCTTGTCAGATAAGTTCCCTGTTGAATGAGAAAACATACCAGCAGCTTTACCCTTGCGCATCCATTCATACACAGTGAAGAGACATAAGCCCACTGCCGCAAAGGCAATGAGAACAGCTTCTTGACGAAGATCCATTAATTTGAGTAGTGAAGACATGATTGATGATGAAACAGGACAGAACGTCGTTGAACTTAAATATCTGGGATGATAACAGTGCCTAGAAACTTTCCACTTCCGGATTACTTCCCCGACTTGCCATCAGCCTATCAAACCTGATGCAATGACAGCAAACTAAGCCGATTACGGTAATTCACCACGATTCAGCTTCCCCGCCCGGATGATGTCGTCCGTTGGTCCCTAACTGTGGGGATATCTAGGGAAGATAATTATTGACTATCTCATTACTACTTATGATGTTTTACCAGTCTTGGCTGTCTTGATAACACCCTCTTTATGGAGTGCCTCGATAATATCGAGAATTACAAAGTCGCAGCCCTTTGCCGCCATGATGTTGACTCCAACAGGAACAAGCTCGTTTTGGAGACTTGAGTTGGAGAATTGGCCCAGGTCAAACATGCCCAGCGAGACTGCGTAGTCTGGTAGTCCTGCCACAGAAGCGAGTCTTCCGGCGTAGACGGTCTGACTTCCTGAGTTGGAGTTTGACTTTTCTGCCTCCAGCGATTCCTCGCAGGCTTCCTCGGACCCAAGGGTTGAGTTGCAGTTAACGGTAGTGTTGAGCTGGGTGATGAGAGACTGCTGCTCGGAACTAGCTTGTAAAAGCTCGCGGATATACGGGTTCGAGCCACTAATTTGTTAGTGATGAATTGAATCGATAGGGCAACATACTCTTGAGAAACATCTGGCTTGTATGAAGGATAGCTGGCCGATAGATAGACGTAGACAGCATTCGAGCAGCTCTTGTTATCAGCAGTCAAAAACTCGCTCGCAACCCATTCCTCAACACCTTTCTTGGAAGCCAAATCATCTTCATGCGTCAACTGCGTCATTGTCTGATTGGCGTTCATCCACCCTTCGCGAATCTCAGGCACCATATGAGGAAATGCACCATCGTGAAGACTCTTGTACTCTTCGACATAATCCTTGCCAAATTTATTCCACTGCTCGTAGGTTGTAAGATTCAGATAGACATTACCTACGATATTGGAGAGAGGCTCGTCGCTGAGTGCCTTTGGTGTAGAGTTTGTCCAGGCCGAATCAATAGAGAAGACAGAACCATTGGCAGATAGTAAGCTTGTGAGGCTATTTAAGAACTCTCCTACTGCATTCGCTGCTTTAGTGGAGTCCTTTTCAAGGTTAAGGAGAAACTGTTCACTACCGCTGTCAAGGAGGACTTCAGATGGTAGCCCGGAATACTCTTTGATCGTGCCAGCGTAAAGAGATCGGGTAAACTTGGACAGAATGACAGGGTCCCTAGCAATAACACCTGAGGTGTCCATGGCCGACGAAAGAGGGAGAGCTCCTGTGAGATCGACAGCGTCTTGTGTAGGACGATTGCCATGGACTGCATTCTGGAGTGCAGGGCCACGAATACTACCGCCTGTATCGCTTCCCATACTAGCATCAAGCCAGTCATACGAAGCAACAGCTGCAGCAGAGCCACCGGAGCTATCACCAGGTGAGTTGTATCCGTCGCCTCGAGGGTTGAAGGGGAGAAGGTAGTCAATGTGCTCAGTGACGTATCCGCCAGCAAACGCAAACTCGGACATTTTGTTCTTTCCGACGACTACAGCGCCGGCATCGATGAGTTTCTGCACACATAGAGCAGTCTTGGTCTTGGCTTTGCTCATTTCGTATAGAGCTCGGTTACCTCCACTTGTCTTGACGCCTTTGAGGTCGTATAGATCCTTGACACCGAGACGAAGACCGGCGAGGGGCTTTTCTTTCGTGGGGGTGAAGTAGAGACGCGATGGGACGGCGATCGTGAGACCTCCGGCGGAAAGGGCACCGGCGCGAAGGGGGTGATGGGTTCCGGAGGGGTCTTGGTATGTGGACTGCTACTGTCAGTGATGTTGAGTACATGAGCGGAAACATACTTGGATGAAGGCTTGGTTGGTGTCGACATAGAGGCGGTATGCTTGGAAGACATTGCCAGTGTAGCGATGTACAAAGTACGGACCCGCAGGCACCGACTCTTGGCCAGTGTATACTGCTGAAACATTGTACTTGGAAGAGTTGAAGGCCAACTCCTTATCAGACTTGATGTATAAAGCTGCGACAGTCAGATACATCACTCCATCATCCACAAAACTTACCTTGAGTAAACTCCTTGGTCCAAACATCGTCCTTCTCATACTCCCTCAGCGCAGAGGCAACACGCTCAGCATTTGCCGTCTGATTCAACTCAACAACCGTCAAAGGCGTAAACTCATCACCGACAGAAGCATTCCACGAGTCCAACTTCCACGCTGCGGTCGGAGGAACAAAGTACTCATGATCACCAAGCTGTATCTGCCTCGAAACAGAAGCGGCAGACACACCCGCAAGGTAGAAAACACCCAGTACCAGGGTAGATAACGACATTGTAATAACTGCTGTCCATTAATCTCACCAGCGAGCGGGAACTCGTTATATAACGTGCTCGCCAAGACTGTACATCTTGGCTTACAGGCTCCCCATGCTCACTCCGTCCCATTGTCGGCCAATCGCGGGATTGGAATCGTTAGCCCCCAAACTGTCGGGCTAAAGCTGACGATCTTGGGTGACGTGTAGCGTGGTGCGGCCCCCACAAGCCGTGCCTTGAAACCAGTTGACATTACCCCGTTTTGGCTATTCAAAAAGCGTGCTTGTCGAGATCAGCCCTACGAGAAAGCTGATGCCTGGGGATAGGGCTTGAATTGCTCTTTCGAGAAGGTTAGTGCGAGCTGAATGATTCAGCACATCACAAGAATCTTGATGGTCAGGTAATTGCATCATAACATCTACTTGAATTGCCTTTTTTACTCTAATACAATTGTAGATCCTCCTATTTTACGGGCCTCTACAATTGGCCGACTCTTAAGCTTATCCACGTTAAAAGTCTCGGCAAAGTCTGACCCGGGTTTCGGATGAATTGCAAACGTCGGCAGTTTCACTTGGCAGCAGATAAGAGTAAAAGGTTAATTCATCGGCCGATTTTAAACTCCCGTAGTTTGAGTTCCCAATTTCCCGTTAGAGTTCTTGTTAGAGTTTAATAAGCGTAGCATTCTTGTTGATCGTTATATCTGGCCATTATTAAGCGCTTCTGTAATACCGACGTCCCGTTTAAACGCCTCGAGCCAATCTTTGTTCTCTGCGATGGTTTGGTTGAATGGATCATCACTAAATTGTTAGAAAATCTACCAGGTCCAGGTTAAAGGGCACGTACTCGTTGTAGCTGATCCATCGCGCGTAATGCTGAATCTCTTCATCTGAGGGAATGCGACTCGCTGGATTATGCGGCGACATTATCGCAGATACCCATCGTCGTAGTTCCTGGGTAAACCACCGCCAGTAATTATGATCATTTAGAAAAGCTGTACTTGTTTTGAGAACGAGACCTCGAGCCGCGAGGAGATGGGGATCTGGTCGAAGTGGCGTGTTCCAAGCTTCGGGGTTTTCTGTGGTCGTGGAATGTCGCTGTCGGAAAGCGGCCAGCCAGTAATCATCGTCTGCTGCTGTATGGTTTACATTTGAATCTGAACCATGGATTATGACGCGCGCTTGTCGGCGAAGGTCGTCGTCGGGTGGTTCAATGCCAATGACGCGTTGCAGGTCGAGATAAGCTCCGAGTTCCTGTTCGAGGCGCGTATAATCCTGGATCATCGCGTTCAAGTTCATTCCCTCGGATAATCCGATCAGTTCAATTCCTGTGCGTTGCCGAAATGGGAGAAGCCAATCTCCGGGTAAGTGAATGATCTTGATAAGCCAATTCGCGATGAAATCGGATGGTGTTGCTGAGACTTCCTCCAAACGACCAACAATTCTGCAGCATTCTTCTCGCAGTTCATCATCTCTGATACTCAATCCCAGGAGCTGCTTTGCTTGTACAAACTCTTGTAGCTGCATTTCAAAAGGACATCCCTCAAAGATGTTGTTCTTTCCGCTAATTTCTAGTGAAGAAAGTCGACTCTCGGCGTTTGATCTCATAGGTCCGAATTGAGCTTGTTGAGAGATTGCAACATTCGAAAAGACCAGATCTCGAAGCCATGATGGGCAGACTAGGTCAACGTGAGACAGAGGTTCAGATGCAAATAAAATCCGGCACGCTTCGAGCTGCATTTCGTCGCCGGTCGGCATTCGCGCATGTTTGTAAAAGTGATTCTGCATGAAATACGCCAGCTCCAATTTGAGCAGCTCATAAGCTGTCCGGGGCGTTTCAACCAGCGCACGGCTCCCTTCGAATGGAAAAGGACTATTTCGTTCAGTTTCGATAAAGTCTAATAGTCAGTACCTCCGCCAATACGTTGGCGATAAAACTCACAAGGAGGAATCGAATTCTCAACAAGCTCAAGAATATGCGGCTCAAATCCCCAATCACCCTTCCAGTCTGCCATAGTCTTGCCCGTCTTGAAATGATCGGCTAGATGATGCACACGGTCAATCCATGTCTCCATCACAAGATTGCAGAAACCGCATCGTGAGTGAATCGCTGGCGGCGGAGCTTTCCACTGTCTCATCGGCCACTCGGCGAATTTAGCATTATGGACCAATTTGAGATGTTGATTAAGATGGTCCTTTCGATTGAACGTGCGTTCCTGTACAGGTCGATTCTTGCACGCCGAGTAATTGTGTGTTTCAATGTGTGCATCGTCAGGATCAATGTGGCCGCAGAAAACACACCGGGTCTCGGAACTATCGGCTTTTTGACCACGGGGCCCTTCTGGACTACAGACCCAGCGCTCAAGCGGAAGATGAAGAGAATTCTCGTGGCGTGACCAATCGTGCTTTGCTCGGAATGTCTCAGTGCAGAATGTGCATTGGAATGCCTTTCGGGGAGCTGCTAATGATCTTCGCTCTTCTTTGTATGCGCGTCTTCTGCGACGAGAACTTCCTCGACTAAAGAGCTCATTGAGGCCGAGTGACGAACGGCTCGTGTGCGAATTAACTGAGCTGATTGAGCTGGATCGCGATGTACCGACACTTCGAACTGATGGCGTTCGAGATAGTCTCGTGTATGGACTCGAAGAACCTATGCTGTTAGCCTCACTCACGCACGTTTCACCAAACTCACCTGATTGTGGTCGCACTGAAGCTACAGCCCTCGCAATCGCAGTAACAGCAGCAGGTTCATCCTCAGGCGGCGAATCAACCCATCGCTGCAGAGGATCCATATCAGACGTATTCCTCACAGCCGGCGTCCCAGGTCTAGGCGGTATATCCATAGCAGGCGTATCACCATGTCTCGGCGAAGAAGCACTCGACGGAATCTTTCCTCGTCGTCTCGCATTAGCCAACCAGTTAGATATCTGCGTCTTTGTAAGCCCCGTCTCCTCCTGCAGCATCCGCCGTTCAGGTTCGCGCGGATACGGATGGTTCTGATGCGTCGCGAGCCAATTCTTCAATATCCGCACCGACTCCCTCGTGAATCTCCCGCCGACCTTTGCAGGCGGTGCTGGTGTAGCAGTTTGATTATATCCGTGCAGCGACAGGGGCGTGAAGGGATTCTGCGGCGCAGGATGAGTTGGGGCAAGATTGGGGATTCCATTTGATAGGTCTGGGGGAGGGGCTGAGTCGGACATGTAGGGGGTCAAGTCATCGCTGATGAAGCCGTCCAATAGATCGACGTCTGTGAAGAGATTGGGGTTGTTGAAATTCATGGTGAGAGTGACTGTAGGGGGTCAATGCATGCACGTCACTGAAAAGGTGAAGAAGAGAGGTCTGATCCCTTGAGAAAGGTTATCAAGTGGCGGCATTGGCTGGTGGTTTCTGATTGGCTGACAAAAGGGAAACCTTGTCATCACGCCCTATTGATGGGGCGTCATGTGAGCGGGGAACTGGAAGTATCTGAGGCTAATGAATATTTGGGATAGGTATGTCTATGAATTTCTATTTGCTTGGTGGAATGTTTCGTGGAGTTCAGATAACATGACTCGAATTGGTCTCTGGTTGATGTAAATGTCGTCAAATTGTTTGAGGACGTCAGGGTAGGGCCTCAGGTAGTCTCTAGCCTGCCAGAGGTATTTCTCTGCCTTGGACAGATTGCCAGTGTTCTGAAGCATTCGGGTGATGTATTCCTCGTGTTTCTTTCGCTCGTCTTCGGTGAGGTTTTCCTAGAAATGTCAGTGAGCCCTATGTATGCTCAACAAACATACCTTGATGTCAAACATGAGATTCATGGTGGGTTCAATGACGACTGCTTTAAAGTCGATATCGGGATGCTCTTTTTGAAGGTCTTTGGTTTGCGCTTCAAAGTCAGAGATTGACTGCTCTCGAGTCTTTTCGTACAACTGTTTTGAACTCATTTTTCTGGTCTTTTGTCTTTGTTTGATGTGTTGGAGAAAACTGAGATTTCATGACATTGACGTGGACCCCCGACACGTCAACCTGCAGGGGAATGTCGATCACCCCAGAAATTGCATAACGTCATGAAAAGCTGGCGGGAGACATGACATGATTCAAGTAAAAGAAGAAATCACATAACGGTCATCGGGAATAGTAGATTTAGCTGCTACAGCCTGAGTCAAGGCTCGGCAGCCAGAGTACCATTTTATGATGTAGGACTACTTACTCAAAGCCCCCAATAAAAACCCCTGCAACTCTTCAAGACTCTGTCTACTCGTCTTTTGACTCGCCATGACATAAAAGACGTTGCCCAGAACTCGGCTATGAGCATTCCAAGTCCCAGTTCCCTCTCTCAAATGAGTCTGAATCTTCTTGGCCGCCAAACTCTTGTACCCAACACCAGCATCATCTCTCAAACTAATCGCCAAAACACTTCCAAGAGCCCAAACACCCAAAACCTGTTGATTATGCGAGACATTGTTGACAAACTCCCTCGACCAAACAGACCAAGCCTGATCCTTCTCCCAATCCCTCTCGGCCCATTCCCATTCTCCCCTCTTCTCCATATCCTGCATCTCCTGCACCGACTCAACAGCAACTTGACATCCAACTGCATGCGCCGTATAACTATGTCCATGCAGCAAAGCATCACTCTTGTCATCACTAACAAACGCATCGAAAATACTCTCAGACGCCATCGTCGTGCACAGGGGTACAAGCCCGCCCGTAAGTAGTTTAGCGTTAACGGAGATGTCGGCGTCTGTGCCGAGGAATGACGCCGCTGTAAACCGACCGAGGCGGTATAGCCCGGTAAAAACTTCGTCGAAAATCACGGGGAGTCCAGACCATGAGAGTGGGTCTTTGGGGATGGTAGCGTTGCCGAAGAGGTGAGGGGATCGACGGACGACGTCCACTAGAGCTCTTTGGAAGAGGGGATCACTGAATTGTTAGAGAGGCCAAGAAGAGGGAGATGAGACTTACACAAAGATCATTCCTCCTGCGCCGAGGATTATCGGCTCCATCATGAGAGCGCCAAACTTGCGTCCAGAGGCTTGGAGTTTTGAGAGGACGCCTTCAATGTAGCGTTGATACTTTCGGTAGTGCTCGGTGTTGAGCCGAGATTCGAGATCAAAAACCTCCGAGATCGATCTGAGGTCCGAATCGTGTCCCAGTTCATCCCTCAAACCCTCAGGGACCTGAACAACCCACTTTCCCTTGACGCACTGAATAGTTGGATAGTCGAACCAATACCCCTTACCCTCATACCACTCAATCTTTTCATTATAAACACACGGCTCCGCACAATCCATCGCACCAATCGTGTCTCCGTGATAACTCCCCTTGAGTCCAAGAATATGAACATTATCATTCGGTCCCCAGCCATACCGCAGCCTCGCCGCCCGAAGTGCCATTTTGACAGCGACTTCACATCCCGTGCTCCCATTATCAGAGTAGAAAACACGTGAAAATCGTGGATTGTTGGCACCCTTGAGGAGCATCTCCGCAAGCGCTAATGCAGGCTCGTGGATTGCCTCGGCAAACATTACGTGACCGTACCGACCGGCTGCGTAGGCTGCTGCGAGGGTGAGGCGTGAGTTGGCGTGGCCGAGACCTTGGGACCACCATGATGCTGAGCCGTCAAAGGCGGGTTGGAGGAGATTGGGGGAGGAGGGGTTGAGGACTTGGAAATAGTCGCCGTGGGCTGAGTCGATGGCAGAGATTGTATCGGCAGTGACGAGCTTTTGCTGGGTGAAGGGGTACCAGATTGATTTGCTTGCTTTGGAGGACATTGATTCGAGGCGGGAGATTCTGTCTTTGCCTCGTTTGTCGAGAGCTTCAAGGACGTGGTCGACGTTGCGAGCGGCGTAGTACTCTTTCATCTGCTCAATATCTTCTTGTTCATTTTGGAGTCGAGATGGGGGCTCGGGAACTGTGTCGACAGAGATGCCACCCTGCTTTGCAAAGTAGTCTCGAAGGTATTGATAGTTTTCATACTTCATATCCTGGAACAGAAGAATTGACTCAATGTCATGGCCGCGCATTCTCAAAGACTCATAGGCAGAAATGGTCTGTGAGATGCCGCCGAGCTTTGAATCGCCGACGAGGATTACTGGTGCACGCAATGGGGCGTAGAGATCAGCTTGGGGCGTACCAGATGGACCAGGTGAGTGAACGCCGCCAGCAGTCTCTAGAAACAGCCATCCTGGTCCTTCAGACGCGTATCGAGACGTGGTGTCGTAGATCTTTGTGAGGACATCTTGATCCGATGGAATTGGCTACTCTGTAAGCTTGTTTCACCAATCAATTGGCTTCATACCTTGCCAGATGCTTTCGCAGCGATGTGAGGACTACAGGGAATATCGTATTGGAAGAGCGTCTCATGGTTCGTCGACGGAGCATATCGTTGAATATGACTACCTCGTTAGACAATTTCTCCCAGAATCACACAACTTCTACTCCAATTAGCTCAATTCTCCCAATTTTCCTCAAACTTACACCATCCATCAGCCTCATCCGCACCCCCCGTAGAAACCGGCTTAAGAAACCACGTCTTATCACCCCGCTTACTCGCAGAGTTACACAAAATCGTACTGAAAATCGTCTTTCCAACATCAGTATTCGCGCCGTAAACCTGATGCGCTCGCAGCGACCGCCAGAGAAGAGCTGGCACCGGCGCCATTTTTGTGATGAGAGAAATGGACGAAAGGGTTGAGGTGGAATGCCGCGGTTTATAATGGAGGGTCTAGATCGGCACGGCTAACGACTCCGGGCGGGGCGGGGGCTCAACATGTACTAAACCCAACAAATTCCGCGTCTTTTACCGATTGAGTTGAGTTGCGTTGTGAGTTTTTAACTTTGTAATGATGTCGAAACTGGAGGAGAAGTTGAGAGCGCGATTATTGGATCGTGAGAAACGGTCTCAATTGCGGCGATTGACGACGTTTCCAGCTGACAATGTCGACTTTTCGTCAAATGCATACCTTTCTCTCTCGTCGGTAGCTGAAATTCGAAGCGCATATCACTCCCTTCTTGAGAATCATGCAGCGCCGCCTCCGCTGTTAGGGTCCGGAGGGTCACGGCTGCTCGACGGCAATTCAACCCTGGCAGAGAATCTGGAGAGAGACATTGCGGCATTTCACAACGCGGATGCTGGGTTGTTGTTTAATTCGGGGTTTGATGCGAATGTTGGCCTTGTGAGCTGTTTACCGCAGCCAGGGGATGTTGTTGTGTATGACGAACTTATTCACGCGAGTGCTCATGATGGGATGCGGCTGAGTCGCGCGGGGCGGAGGGTCTCGTTCAAGCATAACTGTGTATATGGGGAGGGAGGCCTTGATGAAGTTTTGAGTGGAATTGGGGGCGAGAAATCTGTGTTTATTCTCGTTGAAGGTGTTTACAGCATGGATGGCGACGTTGCTCCTCTTAAAGAGATTGTGGCCTGCGTCAAAAGTCGACTCCCAGCCAATGGCTATATCATCGTCGACGAGGCACATTCTACCGGCATTTTCGGTCATCAAGGACGGGGTCTCGTATGCGAATTGGGTTTGGAGAAGGAGATATTCGCACGCTTGCATACGTTTGGCAAAGCAATGAGTTCGTTTGGAGGTAAGTAGCCAAAACCGCTCATCCAACAATGCTAACCATGCAGCTATTGTTCTGTGCTCACCCACGACACGAGAGTATCTCATAAACTACGCCCGAACTCTCATCTACACGACTGCAATGCCATTCTCCTGTCTCGCGAGCATCGGTATTTCTTATCAATATCTGCAGAGCGGAAGAGCTGATGAGAGGCTGAAGCATCTCTGGAGTCTGGTGAGCTACACGCACAAGTTACTAGCGGAAGCGTGTTCCCTCAGCCAATCAATTCGCGCAGAGGCAGCACCGAAATCACCAATCATACCGGTTTTTACATCACAGCCACGCAGTCTAGCTCAGTTCTGCCAGGAACGTGGGTTCACGGTGCGGCCTATTGTGGCACCGACGGTACCGAAGGGCAGTGAGAGGGTGAGGATCTGTGTGCATGCAGGGAATACGGTTGCGGAAGTGGAGGGATTGGTTGAGACGATCAAGCTTTGGGTGCAGGCTCATGAGGGGGGATTCGCTAAACTATAGACAAGACGTGTTTGTAGAGATAGACAGGAATGCCACTAGCAATTGGAGGCGCTTTCATTCTCACTAGCCGCTTGTTAAGCCTTCAGCTAGGAACAGTTCCTGAGTTCGTCATCGGCGAGTAATTGAATGACTAGCGAGGAGGTTCGGCAAACCTTACGCCCATCCATCCTATCTTAGGTTCCACTAGTGTATTGCGAGACGATTATATAAACTCGACTTGCCCCCAGTCTCGCTGCTCCTAGTATCCTTAAGGCTATCCAGTTTTGGCGCCACATTAGGGTTCTCATCAAGCTCACCTAGCTCAGGTCCCTTTCGATCGACGAATACATTGATATCTATTTGAGACGAAATAATTCAATCTAGGCCGAAAGTGATGACCGAAACCCCGATTGGGTCCTTCGCCCAAAGCAAGCTCTAAATCTACAGCTCTCCCTGTCCATCCCGAAATACCTCATCGTACCACGGCTTCTCCGCCTCCGCCTTTTCCGTCTTTGCTCGACAAACGTACCCAAACTCACGCTCCACGATACTAGCCTTTCCCGAATCGACGACGAACGTTTTCGGCTTCTTCTGAGTGACATTCGACCGCGACTCCCAATACACCAACCGTTCCCCGTTGACGGCAATGTCCAGTAATGGCTCCGCTTCGACGATCGCTAACTGAGCCTTGATGAGTTGGCGAAGGTACGGGAAGAACCATATGCGGTCCCACCAGAGATATCGACGTTTCTTTGCTCCATCCTTGTGTGCATTGTGATGGACGACGACAGGAATGGCTGTGGAGTAGAAGTCGGCATATACGGGCATATCTCCCCATTCTGCTGGATCGTGAAGAACGTGCATGTTCAGTGGGTTTGTAGAAGATTGGATATCGTCTGGCACACCGTCTAATCTTGGTTCAATCCCGAGAGACACTGACTTTTCTGCAATACCAGTCTCGTTATTCAACACAATAATCTCCCCGTCTTGCTCTTCAAAAACAGTCGGAATGAACAGATTCTGCATGTAGTCCAGCCCGACATGGTACTCGAAATCGCTATGCATAACATCGAAGCTCTTGTCCTTTCGAGACACTGTGTTCTTGCGAAGCCAGCGCCGCCAGATTTCTTGTTCCGCGAAAATCTCACCGAATATTCCCTGATCGCTGTACAGATCCTTGCCATTCACCAAACCTCTCTGCATCCGCTCATGCACGCGACGAAAGTACTTTCTCATATCACCAACAGGGCCAATCATGCTCCCGCTGTTGAGATACTTCGGTCGTACATCGTGAAATACTTCAGGGTCTGTGTCGGTATTCGGTCCGTAGAGGTCTCGACGAGCTGGGCTTTCGGGGAGTTGATCGCAGTGGAGGACTGAGCCTGATGATGGCGGAGGGAAGCATTTCTTCTGTGCTGATATGACGATTGTTTGTTCCATTGGGGGTTTTTCGCGGCCGTTCTATTGTGATGCCAGGCGCTGGTTGGCTTGACGGTTTGCTTCGTGGTATCGCTTGAGGAGGACCTCTGGCGGAAGCTGAAACCAAACGTCATACGAGTCCGTAAGAACAACGATATCATTCTCCTCGAGTCTATTCTCGTCCGGAGTGTCGGGATTCGAAACACTATCGAGATACTCCAGAGTACCTGTAATCTTCGCCAAATGAGACCCTCCTTTCCATCCCTTGGACTTATCGTACGTCTTACCCCAGTTCACAACAACCGGAGCTGGATACCCCAATGCCAACGCACTCGTGATGACTTTGCATAAATCGTGGTCTGGGTTATTGGCAGGGAGGACTATGCTAAGCCGTCGATCCCTTGAAGGAAGCTTGGCAATGTCCTGCTGCGGGTACGTTTCATAGGCTTGGCCAGTCGCAATCTCTCCAGCCAAGAATGCGCGGCCCTGGTTACGTTAGCATTGGCGTTGGGGGCCGTTTTCTCATCTTACCTTGAGCGAAGTGAGGGCTAGTAGGCCGGGGAAAATGATGAGAGCGGCTATGAGGATTGCTATTGTTTTTAGGGGAAGACGGAGAAGGCGCCTGGCAAAGAGCTGGAGGGTTGAACCATTCTTCTCGGGGGTGACGGCATCTTCAAGGCTGCTGCTGGAGTCGACCCGTTTGTAGCCTTGAGGCCATATCTGGGGGAGCATTTGGCGTAGCGTATTCATGTCGTCAGTTGACAAGAGCAATAACGAAAGACTGGGTGACATTCAGGGGAATTCCCTCATATATACTCATCACATTCATCTCTAACCTGCATCGCCCTAGCAGGAACAAATCTCGGCATTCTTGGCACCTGATACAGCGACGGCTCATACTTGGCGTCAGCACATATCAACGCACCGCAGCAAACAATGGCAATAACGAGGAAATTATTCAATCGTCACCGTCCAATTATATGCGCCTGGTGCCATGATCCTTCCTTGACTATGCCGAACGTCCCGAGCTCGCCGCTCAATGGTGGAGGCTTCCCCATACACCCACGTAGCATCCCGTCTAGCGTCTTGGTACACATCAAAGGAGCAGATCTCGCTCGGAGGAAATGACGCGGTTAAACGACTCTCGCGTTTCGTCTTCCGGTGTCTTTGGGCTGGTATGCCTCGTGGTCAATCCCGTGTGTCCCCCATTTCCTCCACCACCGATTTCCGTAGGATAATCCTTTGCTACGGCTCCAATGGTTGTTTGGTGTTTTCCTCACCTTTTTCCGCCCGTGAGTGCCTGTACTATAATTAGATATTGTTAGAGACGAGAAAAAATACGTACATCTTCCATTGTTTCTCTTTGTTCGAGTGGTGAATTGATTGCACTCCGCACAGTACTTGCGATCACCCATCCAACCCCGCAATCTCATGAACAAAGGACACGAAATGCATGCACAATGCTTCTTGCAGTATGGAACATTGCAGACTGGGTGGGCGGATGGGTAGTTTCGACATCTGTAGCAGATTTTTCCTCTGTATTCATGGCGTCTGAAGCGATGGCTTATTGGGGAGTAGACGACTTGTTGGTCTCTTGCGCCGACGCAATCTTGACGGCGGAGGGTGTTATTACGGTGTGGATCATGGCATTCTGAAGGGATGTCTGGTGTTGGACCCAGCTGATCGACCCATGTGAGATTAGGTTTGCTGGGGATGAGTGGTGCGACGAGATTTCGCATGTCTGGGCCGGTTAGTGAGAGGCAGACTAGGTCGTTTCTGGTGCAGAAGCTTAGGATGTCGAGTTTGAGCTCCGGGGGAAACTTGTGAAAGAGGGTGAAGGGCTCCGATGCGGACATGATGTCAGATGCGACACGTGAGATGGAGAGTCAAGTGTTTGGTATTGAGTGTCTAATAAGTGTGATGAAATGGCGAGAAGAGGAGATATTTATGAGTCTCTTTGTGCTACATACTCCAATCTTCAGACAAGGCATCTTAGGCAGCCTTTCGCAGACTCCGCAATAGAGTCACGTGCCGTCTGTCAGCCTTGAAATATGGGGATTCTGCCTGATTTGCTGTCATTGATTTGCTGACAGGGTTCACAAGGTACTCTACCCTATGAGCGCCCCTAATGCAGAATATTGTCTACAAACGGCGCATGTTTAGTATGAGATGACATCCAATCTTGAAATGAATATGGTTTGTCAGTTGAAGGAAACTACGTTTATTGCACCAGGTTGGTTTAGGAATTGATGGCCTAGTCAGATGAAGGAATTGCTCGACGTGATTCCATCATCTCATTTTGGACACTACCAGCAAGCATCCGACATTTCTTGACTCAATTTGCAGATTCAATTATGCAAAAGCAAACACAAGTGTATTAATCAGTGCACCAAGTCTGACTACTCTTTCGAGAAAACAGGTCGACATCAAACTCCAATAAAAACAACCCAACCCTAAGCCAACCAATTCACGATACGGTTCGCGATCAATACCAAGACTCTGTCGTCTCTAGTAAAACCCATAGAAGGGGACAATCTCATCCTTGAACACCTCCTCCCCCTCATCTTCATAGTGAGGATCCTCTGCATTCCTGATCATCAAGTTCAAAACATCAAACCCCTCCATTCGTGTCCACGGATGACCAGGTCGCTCCATGGTAGGCCCTCCTTTCATCCCCTGCAACATGTCGTTCGCCAGGAATCGGAATTTGGACAGAGTCTTATCAAAGGACATTTCACTCTGAGTCCAGTCCAGAGGACCAGCATTGCTGACCAGCGGATTAGGCTCAAGCTTGGCTGCGAGAGAGACATCCTCAGCGGTGAAGAACTTGTTGAGGGCAGTGTTTCGGACACTGAGGATCTGAGCAGCCACATCTCGTGTCCACTGCTGCAGGAACTGCTTCGCCATGCGTCGGAAGGTCTTTAGGTCGTTGATGAGCTCTCTCTCGTTGTCGAACCAGGCCTCGGGCCAGTTTCGTTCGTCCTTGAACAGGGTGCAATGCGGTTCAAGAAACTTGGCCAAATTAATCTCATAGTGAGAGAACCAACGGCAGAAGACATGTTTTTCGCGTCGGACACATTCATAAAACCGCTGGATGTCGCAAGCCATGATTCGAGTGTTGAGCTTTTCCTCGGGGGTCATGTTTGTTTCGGTCTGGGTTATCTGGTCCAAGTTGGGAGCCACGAGGCTAGTCTGTTCATGAGACATCTTGTTTGTGAGAGCAACAGCGTCTGTTCTAGAAATTTCGTCGCAAGAAACAGGTGTCAACTCGTCTTTTGGGGGTATAGGCTCAAGAGCGCAGAGTGTAAAGGATGAAGAGTAGGAGTGAGGAGGGTCTGCTGTGATAACGAACAAAGGTAAAGGTGAGTCAAAGTTGCAGAGTGCAGAGTGTATGGGAAATGTTTGGAGGGAAGAAACAAGTCCAGCTGAACATGGGAGACGCGCTCTATTTAAAATAGAACTGTACCCTTGCTGAGTCAGGCCAACATTATTAACTTCCTGTTCGCAGTGGCAAGTCGTTAGTGAGTTTGAGGAAGTGGCCCAGAGTCATAGACAGAGGCTTGCAGTGTTCACCAGCCCATGGCCGTGCTTGTTCCCCTGATACTTGTACCAAGTCCTTCCAGAAACCCTATTTCGTATGTCATTGTAGAACTACCTTTGGCTTTACGTTTTACTTTTTTATACGTGATTACTTGATTTGGGGGTCAAAGTTAGACTTTTGGCTTTAAAATCAGCTTGAAAACCTTGCGATAGACTTTGTAGTTACAGGGAACAACAAATAGACTTTCGCCTACTTCACAGCTTACAATGGATGTGCCCTCAAACGCGTCAGAACGTTTTCAAACTTGATACAGCCCCCCTCCATGCCACTTCTGTGCTACGACGACTTCAGACCTTTTGCCGAAGGTGAACTCACTGCGCTCTCACTAAAGTTTACGCTCCTTGAGTAGTAGAGCAGTGATGAGCGTGATCCCGGAGAACACGATGGAGAGTCCTGATTTGTTAGTCGAGTCTCACCAAGGGGACATCTACATACCGTGACCATACTCGATTCCTCTGATATAACCTTGAATCAGCACATTTCTGATAGGCTCGGAAGCTTCTTCGATGAAGGAGACACTCTCGGCAGCTTTTCGAATGACCTAGAAACTTAGCAGACTTCACAAACGCAATGGAATGACTCACATCGTCAATGAAGTGCTGAGACTTTCCGAGGTCACTAAGGTTTTGCTGGATGTCGTGTCTGAGAAGGCCCTGGATGGCTGCACTAGTACCAGCCATGCCAACAACTGACCCCAGAGTTACAGACAGGAAGATTCCAGAAGACGCTGCTGCCTTGTCTTTGGGGTCGATGGAAGCTTGGAGAGCGATAAAGGCTGCACTTTGAGCGATACCCATGCCGAGACCCCTGAATGGTTAGCATAGAATTAGAAAGACGGGAGCACGTACCCTGGGAAGACGTAGAGTGACTCCAGCCAGTTGGTCTGTCCGTGCCAGCGTAGCAGCATCAGAGTGTAGCTTGTGATTGACGATACAGCTGAGAAGATTATGAGTGCCTTGTATCGACCAGTTCTTTTGATGATCAAGCCTGTTGCTATGCCTCCGACTGTATTTCCAATGACTGCAGGGAACAGATGAGCACCTGCGACTGTGCTCGACACACGCTGAGTGACCTGGAAGTAAATGGGGACGGTATACATCATCTGATGGTCAGCCTAGGCCGCTTACAGTACTGAGACACTTACTCCAAGCTGTGCAGCTGCTTGACCAAACGCAATGAGATACGTCTTTGTGACATCGCCACTTTTGAGTAAACGAAGAGGAAAGATTGGTTCCTTGGCCCAGCGTGACTCGACCAGTACGAATGTAGCTGAGAGAATGACACCAGCGGCTGCCAGAGTTGGCACGAGGGGATGAGTCCACGGGATCTTCTGGCCGCCAATTTCGAGGGGAACCATGAAAGCGAGGACAGAGCCGCCCAAAAGTAGAGCCCCGAGTGCGTCGATTCTCTTGATGCGCTCCAGAGTTGCGCCCTCGGTCTGGGTTGTAGAGGGGAGGAGGATGGCAGCGATGATCATGGATACAGCGAATATCGGCGATTGTCCAAGGAACGACCTGCCCTGTCAGTATGAACTATTAATAGAGTGATAAACTCACCATCTCCAGCCGATTGTATCAGCGAGAAAGCCTCCGAGTGGACCACCAATGCTACGGCCGACGGTGGCGATGACGTTCATGTAGCTTTGCCATGAGGCGACTTCTCGAAGAGGTGCGAGTTCTAATGGTCAGCTTGAATTGGATTGCATGACAGGTGTCGTACCAGTTATGATGACTGATGCCATTGTTGTCATTCCTGCACCTCCAGATCCAGAGATTACGCGACCTAGGATGACTTGCCACATCGACTGACCGGCGCCTCTAAAGTTTGTTAGACGGAAGCTATACTGTTAGGCATAGACTTACACGAGGGCACTGAATTATTAGCCAGATTCAAGTGCTTAATTCGTCGGGTCTGAACTCACCATCCAACAGCAAAGAGTCCGTAGCAAAAGATCAATATCGTCTTTCGTCCAAAGATGTCGCTCAATTTTCCGTACTACTTAATTAGCCCGGCTCGCCTCCAGAATTGGTTGACATACAATCGTTTGAGATGCCGCACTAGCCAACATGAAGCTGATGAATAACCAACTCGAATCCTGAAGCTTGCCAAACTCGGATGCAATCACCGGATGAGTAGCCAGCACCAAAGAGCCGTCGGCGTTGGAAGTAAAGATACCTAAACAGTCAGCTTCGGTCTTCAATTTCGAGAAGACGTACCAATCAGCAACGCGACAACTACTCTCGCAATAAACGCATGGCTATACGTTTTCGGCTCATCGGTATTCCTCTCGACATCCGAGACCTCGGGAGGTATCTCCGGTATCAAAGGAGTCGTCTCTGTCGCGTTAATTCTGGTCATTTTACGCGATTAGCCTGAGGATTTGATAGTGAAAGAGTTACTTTTGAGATTCGTTAAATCTCCGATATCGTTTTTATCGTAGACGTGATTTCGGATCAAAGCACATCATCGCTGCTCCACTCCACGGAACGATGCACTAGCTGGTGAGGCATATAACGCGGGAAGTGGGCAGACATATAAAGCCATAACCGCTATTCTATCTCTATCCTCTCTCTATTAAATGTAAAATAGTTCTCGTATTCTGCTTGTCAATTGAGTGATGAGACAACCCCACTGGTTCACGCCGCACCTCCGCATCGACCGCACGGACTGAGGAGGACGAGGCTCTTTTGGGACTGATCTCATGAACCCTGCCAGCAGATTTACCTATCATTTCTCTTTGTCTTGACCCAATACAACACTAGCAATTCATTGTCAAGACCAACGCCAGTCTCACTATCCCCAATTTGCACATCATGAACTTTGAGTCTCACTTTCACTGGACCAATCCTGACTCACCAATCAAGACTAAAATGTGGATCCGCCCTTTCTGAACATGTCCGAGACTTCGCCGTAAACTCATCGTAACCCCATGACCTCCAAATTCCATCACCACCACAACATGGCAGACCCAGGCGATCTCTTCATCGACTTTGCAGACTTTCAAAATGCCGCTGAGGCTGAGACTATCTCCCCTGGTATTCTGCAGACATCAACAGCGCCCCCAAAAATCGGCAATCGCTTTTCATCCGAGTCTGTCAAGATTCTGAGGAATTGGTTCGCCGCGCATGAGAGGCATCCGTATCCTACCATCCAAGATGTCCAGGATCTTCAAGAGCAGACGAGTCTGAATAGACAGCAGGTCACGAATTGGTTTGCGAATGCGAGGAGGAGAGCAAAGGTCCATTCGTCTCGGCCGACATCGCCAATGTTTCGGAATGATGATTCGGGGAATTCTTCGGGGCATCACACGCCGATCGATACACCGCGGCGACGGGCGACTCCTGCGCCGTTTGAGCATATGAATCCGCTGCAGCGATGGGCGAATTCACCGCCGGAACATGAGGCTGCGACTGTTGATGACATCTCACGAGCTGTAGCTGCTTTCTCAACCCGGCAGGGAAGATCACGAAGTCATGGGTCGTCAATCAGCAGTAGAGGAACGTCAGTGTCAAGTCATGATTCTGGGTCGTACAGTTCTGCTCATTCAAAACAATCATCGACGTCCTTTGACATTTTCAAACGGCACAGTCGAAGGAGGCGTACAAAGATGAGAAAGGAAGTGAGGACGAATCTCCTCCAGGCACAGAATACATATCAGTGCACTTTCTGTACAGAAACCTTCAAGACAAAATACGATTGGCAGCGTCATGAAAAGTCTCTTCATTTATCGCTTGAGAATTGGGTCTGTTCGCCAAATGGACCGACAGCGATGCATCCAGAAGAGGGGCTTCTTTGTGTCTTCTGTGGCGTCAAGAACCCCGACAAAACGCATCTCGATGGACACAATCAGAGTGCATGCATCGAGCGACCGATTGAAGAGCGGACATATCATCGGAAGGACCATCTACAGCAGCATTTGAGACTAGTTCACATGTCTAAGTTTCTCAAATGGCCGATGGATGATTGGAAAGTCATGACGCAAGAGGTTAAATCGAGATGTGGATTCTGCGGTATCAATCTTACGACCTGGGCGAGCAGGGTTGATCATTTGGCAGACCATTTTAAAGCTGGGAGTACCATGGAGCACTGGAAGGGTGATTGGGGGTTTGAGGGCAAGGTCATTGAGAGGATCGACAATGCCATGCCTCCTTGTAAGTGCACGAGACGGATCAACAAGCTCTTTCTAACCTTTTTAGACCTCATTCACTACGAACGAAACTCGCCTCTTCCATTCGCAGCTACAAGAGGCCCAGCAGATACACCCACAAGTGCATACGAACTCATCAAGCTCGAACTAGAATACTACATGCGAAATCGCCATCAGTTTATAATGCCACCAGATCCCGAACTTCACTTTGAAGCATGTTCCGTGATCCTCGGCGCAGAAATATCCTCCCCCAACCAAGCGTCGTTATCCCCGTCTTGGCTATGGGACTTGTTCATGTCAGCTACCGAGATCGCCAACCAAGCTAAACTCCGACCAACGAAGCAATTAGCAGAGGGGAGATTGAGCCAGCTGAAGATCAATGGAAAGGGAAATATCTTTGAGAATTGCGAGCTGGAGGCGGCGCTGCAGCAGTACATGACTGCTCATACATCCATGGGGCATTTTCCAACAGATTCTGAACTGCAGCAGGAGGCGTGTAATGTCTTGAATCGGACGGAGACAGCATCTTCGCATCCGTCGAGGAGGTTTCTGGACTTTTTGATGAGGCTTGTTTGGAGTTCGACGGTTTGGCTGGAGCCGTTTCGTCAGAGGGCTGAGACTCTTGTGGCGTTGGCGAATGAGTCTGTGAATGATTCTTACTTTCTATGGGGTCAAACAGATACAGCTGTACCGTTGGATGCTTCGATGGAGCTGGACATGTTGCAGCCCTGGGTCGAGAATCGATCTCTTTCTCCAGAGGGAGTACCGGAAATACCAGCGATTTCTATGCACAGCACGCCAGAGTCGAGGGCACTTATACGAGATAAAGTACGAACACAGACGCCATTCTTTATCAACGACAACAACAGCTATCGTCGATTAAAGCGGGAACTCTCCCGATTCGTCATGACGACAATGTCTCCCAACAACCCCAACCGGCATATCCCCAGCGACGACGAATTAAAGTACCAAGCACGATGGATATTATACGATGAGTACGTTTCCCGATATGCAAATTTCATTGGCTAACAGAACAGTGACGATCCTTGGAACCAAACCCCCGTCGACAACGCAGAGTGGCTGCAAGAATTTAAACGAGATGTTGGACTTCCTACTTAGACACAGGACAAGCACCCATATCTCGAGCAACAGGCTCGCTCTCAATAGAAATGTCAAAGTCGAAAATGTCCATCGGTATGCCGAGAGTTGTGCACGCGTTGGGGATGTCGACTATTCCTGCGATGGCGCCGCGGATGGGCGCGCAGGAGAGTAAGAGGTAGATTTGCTCTCCCGAGTAGCCTACATTGTCAGTGGAGTTCTCTGTGTGTGAAGGTGACGTACCGAATTGTTTGAGGTATTCGATTGCGCGGAGACATGACTGTCTGTAAGCTATGGTTGCATCCATGAAATGCTGCTTTCCGTTCTCGTCGACGGAGAAGCCCTCAAAGATGAGGTAGCGTGAGGGACTAAAGGTAGGGCCCATGTCGCCTGGTCTGTACACCGGACTCTTGAGGCCTCGAGACTTCATGCCGCCTTTGATGAGATCAAACTTGATCGTGATGATGCCAGCCTAAATTGTCAGACAGTAGTCAACGTGAATGTGTCGAGACTCACCATTTCAATGGCACCGCAGAAACTAATCTCGCCATCGCCCTGACTAAAATGGAGATCTCCAACAGAAAACTTTGCTCCCTCAACATGAACGGGAAGATACGTCGTAGATCCACGGGAAATGTTATTAATGTCACAATTTCCTCCATGTTCAGGTCGACCAGGTATAGTCCTCGCTCCCTCCTTCGCAATCTTTGCCAAAACATCACCTGTAGCCTTTCCACCGTGTGCATTAATCTCATTCGGCGGTTGAGCCACAATCTTGGTAGAATCAGCCATTGACGAAACGAGCTCTGCCTCTCGACGGTTCCACTCTGCGAGAATCTCAGCGGATGGGGCACAGCCTAGGATTCCGGGGTGGATCAGGCCGGGGAAGCGGACGCCGGGAATATGACGGCTTGAGCAGTAGACGCCGTCGAAATCCCAGATTGCTTTGGCGGCGGTGGGGTAGTGTTCGTCGAGAAAGCCACCGCCATTCTCTTTGGCGAATATTCCGGTGAAGCCCCAGGGTGAATGGTCAAAGGGTTGGACGTCGGTTATGTTGACGACGAGGAGATCGCCAGGTTGGCTACCTTTGATGTCGAATGGGCCGGTGAGATAGTGGATTTTAGTTAGGTCAACATCGCGAACATCGTCTGCGCTGTCATTGTTGCCGATTTGACCGCCTGTCCAGTCGAGACACTCAATCTTGACTGTCTCTCCTGGTTCAACGGTTGCAATACTCGGGACTACAAATTAGCGATCTGTCAATTGAGTTAGTGGAGGCATACCATCTGGATGCCATCTGTTGTGGAGATGGGGCTGCTCGGAGGCAGGTTTGTCAAAGGACACGGATTGAGCTGTACGGATCTTGCCAGGCATTGTATTGATTTTTGATGAGATGATACAAATAGTGTCTTTCAATTGTCTCAATTGTATCTTCTTATAATAGTGATAGTGTAGTTGATAGATAAGACTATCTCGCCGCACGCCTCCGCATCTCCGCACGAGATAAGATGATAAGCTCGTCTTGTGACATTCCTGATAAAGCAGGTGGTTGCATTGTCACCCAAGGGCGAAACCCCGCGATTAGCATGACGCTGGTACAGTCTGGACACTGTACGCCGCAGCCGTATCGAGATTGGTATATGAGATGGGGGTGTCCTCGGCAGATGAGGGTGTCGAGCAGCAACCATGGACGTCAAGACTTTTTCCCTCGGAGACTTTGAGCTTCAGAATGGCAAGGTTTTGCCAGATGCGGTGATTGCGTACAAGACTTTTGGCGAGGCTGGACTTCCGGCTGTGCTTTATCCGAGTTGGTTCTCGGGTGCGATATCCGACAATGAGTGGCTTGTTGGGAAGGACAAGACTCTTGATCCGGGGAGGTACTTTATTATCATAACGGCTCTTTTTGGGAATGGGCAGTCTACGAGTCCGTCAAACTCGGATATCAGTCCGTTCCCTGATGTTTCGTTCTACGACAATGTCAGGGCCCAGCATCAATTGATGGGCCATCTTGGAGTGAAGCATCTCAGGGCTGTTTTGGGTTGGTCAATGGGTGCGGCTCAGACATTTCAATGGGCTACGCAATATCCCGACTTTATGGACATTTGTGTTCCCTTCTGCGGATCAGCCAAGACATCTCTGCACAACCAAGTCTTTCTCGAAGGCGTCAAGTCAGCGCTCCTCGCAGCAAAGGGATGCACATCTGCAGGAAGTATCCAAGGACGCGTCGAAACCACAGACAGAAAATGGACCGAGAAAGAGAAAGACGTTGGCTTGAAGGCTTTTGGGAGGGGTTACGCAGGCTGGGGTTTCTCGCAGGCGTTCTACCGACATGAATTGTTCAAGAAGCATTACGGTGCTGCAGATCTTGAAGAGTTTATGAAGAGTTTCTGGGAGAAGTGGGCGCTTAGCAAAGACCCTGAGAATCTACTCGTGATGCTTCATACGTGGCAGGCGGGAGATGTGAGTAGACAGGAACCGTATAATGGGGATTTTGAGAAGGCGATGAAGGCTATCAAGGCGAGGATCTTGGTTCTTCCCAGCAAGACGGATCTCTACTTTCCGTGAGTAGCCCGTGGTGTTATGGATGGTGTTGATGCTGACTTTTTAGGCCCGAGGACTCAGAGTATGAGGTTCAGTGCATGGGAGACAATGCGAGTCTGGATGTTTATCCTTCTATTTGGGGACATTGGGCTGGTGGACCGCCTGGGAACATGGAGGATGTGAAATGGTTGGATGAGAGATTGAGAAAGGTCTTTGATGAGGCTCCTCGTAGAGATGTCAGTTGAGCGTACAGTCAATTGCAGTTTTATATGTCATTCAGTCATTTAATTTAATTGCACTATATCCAGACCGAGTTTCCGTTCAAAGTTTGCCTCATTGTGTGCAAGCTACGTAGATAAGCTGGCCAAGATTGAGCAATCATCCCAGCTCCATTCAGTCCACTCCTTGGGTCGAAGGGAGACTGACCCCCAAGATCTCTCGTGCTGGAGGGATACAGCACATTCTTTGACAATACTTCGGGGCCCGGGATCAACAAGTCTCCGTATCGGCATCCTCATCTCCCATAGATAACACCCCAATTGACCAATAACTACAATCCCGAAATCACTTATATCTATGTCAAACTAAGGCGCACCCTGATAGCCTCCGACACTGTACATAATGTTATCAATAAAACGTCAATTACTCGTCTATCTCCCGTGTTACCCCAGCTTGTCAGATTAAGGCGTTGACTAGCTTGTCAATCTAGGGCGGATGTCACGACAAGGCGGTGCTCCACCCATCCACCACTGATTGCCGAGAGTTTGGGACAAACTATCTTTGATCATATGAACATGTTATACCGATCTCGTGATCTCTTGAAATTCTTTCATGGGCTCGTTGGAGTTATTGTTGTGTAAGAGATTAGCCAAGTTGCGGTGAACCACGCGTACGAGTCGAGAATACTCTTGGTGTCAATCGTTCTAGAAACTAGATATCGCGGGGTATGTGGATTCAACACGGGCCCAGCTCCGGGCGTACCGTTAGTTCGGAATCCCCACGATACCATTATCAATACTATCTCTCAGATTGGCAGCTATCAAGCCATCAGACTAAAACCGGTCAGGGTATCATCGGTTGCTTGTCATTGTTCACAAAGGGCGAAGGCCGGAAGGCTTCCGGCCACGATAGTAATTCCGGCCTCAATGTATATAGACGCCAAGTCTCCCATACTCAAATCATCAATTCAAGCCAGTCAATTTAAATCATCACAAAATGTCTGCTGCAAACACCCTCTTCCCATACCTCCGAAAGGACCCCTCTGAACTACCAGAGGGCGAGGATCCTTTCACCATCACAACTCGCACAGGATATCTGCCTTTCTCACTTCCTTTGAAGAAACTCCCTTCTCAATTTGATCCTGTTTCAAACCTTCTTGACGAAATCCCGATCCTCAAGGAAGATGGCACCCCAGGTTTGCTGGCGACTTTTGCTCTTGGGCCTCTCATCGACAGTGGAGCTCTCCCTGATTTGACCTCTGAGATTGATAATCTCGTTGTTCCTGGGACGGACAAGAGAGATATGGCTGCTATTACTGCTGCATTTAGAGATTACAGCTTCATTGCTTCTTCCTATCTCCTTGAACCTTGTTGGGAGACTTATAGCAAGAGTGATGATGGCGGTTACGGACTTGGACGCCAGACACTTCCCAAGTGTATCGCTGGACCTCTTGTCAAGTGTGCCGAGATGTAAGTTTACCACTCAATCCAATTGACCTCGCTGACCCAGACCTAGTCTCGACATCCCCGCATTCATGTCTTATGCCGCTTCCTACGCCCTCTACAACTACTGGCTCGTTCATCCTGAGCAAGGACACGATGACTACGATAACATCCGTCTCGTCCGCGCTTTCGAAAAAGGTCTCGACCCCAAGTCTTCAGAGGCTGGTTTCATCCTCACTCACATTCACATGGTCGCTCAGACCGGCGGCCTGATTGAAGGCGCTGTTGATCTGCTGGCCGCTGTTGAGAAAGACAACAGCACTGCCAAGATTGCAGAGGCAAAGGCTAGCTTGGAACTCATCCTCAATGCCATGCAGATCATTGAGACAAACATGGAGGGCATGTGGAGTCAATCCCTCCCCAAAGACTACATGACCTACCGAACGTTCATCTACGGCATCACCAAGCAGTCCATGTTCCCTGATGGTGTTGTCTACGAGGGCCAATACGACGACAAGCCTCAATTCTTCCGGGGAGAATCCGGTGCCAACGATGCCATCATTCCTCTTCTCGATCACATCTGCGAGATCCCCATGCCCAAGAACCCATTGACCGACATCCTCATCGAGTTCAGAGAGTATCGACCCAAGCCTCACCGCGCATTCCTCAAGTATGTCCGCGAAACAGCGTCCGAAGTCGGTGTCCGTGATTTCCTCACCAAATCCGGCGATCACGGTCTCGCAGTTCTGTACCTTCGCGTCCTCGATCACATTCGAAGCTTCCGATGGCGACACTGGATGTTTACTCGCGAGTACATCATCAAGCATACTCTTCATCCTACAGCTACAGGCGGAAGTCCGATCATTACTTGGCTTCCTAACCAGCTCACTGCTGTTATGGACTTGATGGAGGAGGTTGCAAAGGGATCCGGTCTCTGGGCAGTTTTGGAGGAGGGGGTTTGGAGTGGTGGGGGATCTTTGACTCATGAGGACTATATCCTGGTCAAGAAGATTATGGATAATGTTGTCACCAAGAAGGCTCAGTTGAAGAAGGAGGTTGACAAGTATTGCCAGGATCGGGGTGTTTAATAGCATGCTACATAATTAATGACTATTTGCTTCATTCGTGTCCTGGCCTATCATGACTTCAACCGACACCCTTATCACGTTCTATGTATTTGTAATGAACAGCTCACTTGATTCACTGATTTACTAGTGAGAAGCCAGATGACTACTCTGTGCACGGGTATCATCAGTCAGTTCGTAGCTTGGGCCAAGACTCGGCATCAAGGGTCTTTCGCCGAGACTTATCTTATCATCCCATTGACCAATCGAACGATTACATTTGCGCACCAATCACAATTCGTCGCAAATTTATCCAGATCAAGTGACGTCAACATCTGATGCAGAAAATTTTGATCAACATCCAATTCCGGCAACTCCGAGGTCCAATAACTGAGTCATAATATTGTACTATTCATTGCACTATTCATAATGCTATCGCTAAATCCATCCTCGCTTAAGCAATTGGTTCACAAGTAAAAACACCTCGGACTTCGCCGTGACGGAACTTGAGGATCTGGAAATGTTAGCGAGGTCGGTGCAGAATGACTAGGGTAACTCACAATATCATCAATGGAAGCATATGTTCCACCAACGAGAACAATCATGCCGATAATGAAAATGAGTCCATTGGCAATGGATAGAAGGAGGTTCTCCTTTGAGTGCCAAGGTCCCTTTCGAATGAGCATGAACCACATGATAGAGGGGAAGTAAAATGTGAAGCCCGAAATGAACAGGGATGAAGAAATGGACAAGAGATCATTGAAGAAGGGAATGGCCTCGGCAATGATGAACGCCACAACAGTGATGACAGTGACAAGGGTCAACCAGGTGATCCATCCCATCTTGGTGTTGATGTAGCGGATGATTGAGTTCTTGAACATACGTCCGTGGATATAACGGGCGACGACTGTGGTGTTGATAGATCCAGAGATGAAGATGACGGGAAGAGCGACACCAAAGGCGATCTTGGAGATGGTGGGACCAGCAGACAGAAGAGCAGGCGACTTGACCTCGGAACCGACAAAGGCATAAATGAGGGCGCCAGTAAGAGTATAGATACCAATCTCAATCAGACCAAGAGCCCAGATTGACTTGACATAGTCACGAGGAGTATGCATCTCATCCATGAAGCTGAACTGGCAGACAGCAAAGGAGTAGGCGAAAACAATGTTGGTGATGGCGATGAAAGCGTCGGTGAAGCTAAGGTTGTCCTTGGGCCAAGCAGACCAGTCAACAGAAGACATGCCGCCTACTGAGTCACCGGCCTGGACACCAGTTGCGATGATGGTGATGGCGACAGCGATGGAAATGGAGACAAAGTCGATGTAACCAAGGATAGCAACCTCTGCGAATGAGGGAGGAATAGCGACGATGAGGAGGATGATGGCAGAGACGACACCAAAGACGACAGAGCATGCTCCATTGTTGGTGAGGTTCAGGAAGGCGATTGTTCCGGTGAGACAGTGAGATCCAACGAGGAAGATGAGCTGAAGAGCAAACATGACGCCAACCAGCTATTCAAGTCAGTATACATCAATCAAGCATTTGGGAGTACTAACCTCGTAACCAAACTTGCCAAACATGAGTCTACCAGCATCGGCATAGTGAGAAACCTCAGGAAAAGCAAGCTTGACCTGACCAACGACGTGCGATGTGTAGATGGCGACGAAACCAAGACCGACGGTGAGAATAACACCAGCGACCATGCCGAGGGTGGCAAAGGCGGAGGGCAGAGATAGACAGCCGAGAGCGATGGCCTCGACGATCAGTACAACTGTCAATCGCTTCCAACCGAGACGATGGAAGTGTGCGTTGCCCTCGGCGGCTTTTTGCTTCTCCATGTCGTTGATCTCGGCGACTTCGCCGGTTCGTGTGTCAAACATGTCTGGTACTGATTCTCGACGGCTCTTTTTCGAGTCTGTTGGAGCCGTTGGGGCTGTGTTTATTTGGTCCATGGTGTGTGTATGATGTAAGTATATGTATAAGTGTATGTATAAGTATATGTAGTGGTGATGTAAGGATATGTGTATGAGTATAAGTATAAGTATAAGTGTAATTGGTGTCTAGTCGGATGAGTATGAGGAGAGGCAGAGAGGACAGACAAGAGGGAACACGTCTATTATAAAGACAGATAAGCAGACACCGAGAATGAGGCCGATCTCTGTAGTCTACCAGCCAGTGGGTCGAGATAGTCCCACCATTCTTCGGAGGCGACCTACGAATCTGAACCATAAACCCACGAACCCTGTTTCTCTTACATGTCGAATTCCCTCACCAGAACCTAATACCCCAGACCCCAGACTCCCTCAAAAACAGACTCGTCCTCTCTCTCCTCCCAAAAGCTCTCACGGTGCCGAAACTCCGTGTCATGAGGCTCGAGCTCGTGTGCAGTTGCAATGTCGCGCCTACAGTGGATCACCAAAACCTTTCGATTACCTAAAGTGGATCGCAACAGAGCCTCTTGCTTGGCTGCAGCCATGTTTGCATTAGTCAATAAAACTCTCCGTCCTCTACGTATTACCAAATTTTACAATCATCGCGGGCCCCAGGACTCTCCCCAGAGATTTACTCCGCAAAGGGGAGAGATTAAGTTGAGGAGAGAATGGGTTCTTTTACGTACGAAGAATTGTTAAGAATGCGGAGCAGCCGGTAGACGCTGAAGCAGATTCATCGGGAGTCGCGGCGGGAATAGTCACGGGCTTGTCACCGGCATTTCTCTGCCAAGTCGGATCCGTGGCTGTTTATCGCACGAGTGTCATACATACCGCATCCGAAAAATCTGCAAAAATGGCTTGGCTTGACCTCAAGTGCGCGGGAAAAAATCTGCCGCCCGTCGAAATGTTCTCGAAGGTGTACTAGTCAGGGGTGGCGATTGGAGGTATGGGGAATGATAAAAGCTTGCAGGGGACGCCAAGCATTGACCACTGAGTCTTTTTTATTTCGTGGCCTCGAGATAGCGCATGTCGATGTGATTTGAAGGAGCTTAATGCATGGGAAGTGTATGGTACGATACTAGGTGGGATATTCTGGCTCGAGCGTGAGGTTTCGGGGCACTGAGGTATTTGGTGATCGAGGCGCGGTTAAGTCACTTGACTTGGGGGGATGATCTAGCCGCTAATACGATGAACACGCGCTGTAATGCCTGATAAAAATAGGCGACTATACTGACCATCACGCCGTCAGTCAGTTACCTCACTCACTGTCATTCACTGTCATTCTACTGCCTGCAACGTCTTCATCTCCGCGAAACACTGGCTTCGGTATTCGGTGTTCACAGTGATCAGTGCATTCGCATCGCCTATCTAACAGGCCTATCTTGATAAACTCCATGTCTACCAGATTAAAATCCGTCATTAAAACAGAACCCATTGGTCATGGCGGACCGCATTGGTCGACAAAGTATTTCTCTCGTAATGCTGTGGAGTTGCTGGCCCACTGAAACCAGCGATCTGTGATGTGATTCCTATTTCTAATGGAATCCCCGAGTCAAGGCATCCGTAAACGGCCGACCCCGAGTGCACGGAGCTGAGGAGTATCGTGAGAGAGTTCTAGACTTGGAGTTGGAGTTTATTTGTACGTGAGAGATTGGGGTTTTGGAGAGGGGAGAGGCAGACGAGCTAGAGAGGGTATTCCGTAAGGGCCGGCAGTTAACGGGTGAAATTGGGCTAAAAAGTTAGTTTATGCAGGATGGACTAGAATAGTAATGAGAATGCCGATCACCTGACTCTGACGTAGGAGAGTATAGGGTAATTCAGCCTGTTTAATTGTGTTGTCGCGATGTAGACAGTCGCGTAGTTTATGGGGTAATTCCTAAGTCTGACCTTGGTGTTCCCTCCGGGGGCTCCTAGCGGAGGGCTGTTCCTCGCTGCGCTCGCGTGAAATTGTGATATATGGAATAAGTCCTCAATCGTCGAGCGGGCCTCAAATACGTACAAAATACTGGCTTATGAAACAGATGACGTTGACGTCTCGTTGGTGCTGACTCGACCAAATCACCATCTTACCCTACATTTCAGAACACAATCCGGAGGTTGAAGCTGTGTCCCTTGTTCAGTAGTGTCTCTGCCAGCTCAATGTTCTTAACTCCGGGGTAAATCCTCTAACAATTTCGTCATTCCCGCTGATGTAAGATCCACGGCCGCTATCGGCAGCGACGGCTTCAATGCGGCTCGTTTGCAACGACCGGGGATTTCCCCAAAGAGATCTTGGTAGCAGTCTGACTGGTTTTGTCCAATTGCGTGTTGCTAGTGTGATTTAATTGATTACATCGCAGTGATCGCTTCACGGTTAATTGCGACGCGACCCTGAACTACCAATGACGCGTTACATGCATCCTTCACGCTTACAAAGATCATGACTTCAACCATAAGCTCACTCATCCGCACTCGAAGTCTGACCCAGACCAATTCAACGGTCTGCATCTAATCTTGGCGACATGCAGACTGTGGACACGGCACATTCCAAGCTTTCAGCTACACAGTGGATCTGGGGAACCTGGGGCAACAGTCATGACAAACAATTACTATTAATAAATCTAACTCTATCGGATAATGCTCGCCTGGATATCTTTTCATCTCTCATCAAACTGGAGCATCCCGAAAACGCCAAACTAGCCCAAAGCAACACTAACGAAAGTTTCCTAGACATCGGGTGTTCCCATAACCACTTGCACTGGAACTGTCAAGTCCAACTTGACATCGCCCTCCAAAACGACCTTGACCGTGTATGCTCGTGAGATAATACAGGAGTGAAATGTTGGGACAAACATCTTATCGGCTGTAGGCAGCTTGAACGGAATTTCGACTGTAGCTGTATGAAAGACGGGCGAATCCTTGGTGCTAGCCATGTCGACATTCTGAGTCCATTGGACCTTGGGGGAGGCTTTTGGGAGGGATACTGAGAATGGATATCCAAAGTTTGCAATTGAAGATCCTTGTGTTGGTAGGTTCATCATCGGTTGATCGCGGAACCAAGTATGAGACTGAATCTTGAGAGAAGCAGATGCGAATTGTGGGGGAATCACATCAGCGGCAGAAGGTTCAAAAGTAAGGCTGATGGGAATTGAGGAGCCGCTAGCTTCGTAACCCTCTTTGGTGAGATGGATAGCAGCTGGTTGAGCCGCCACTGCGGAGATTCTGCCCTGTGAAGCAGAAAAGATGTTCTTCTTGACCTTCTTGGACCTCTCAATCTTGTATAAATCGTCTCGTTCGGTGATGTTCAGAGGAGGCTCTTCGAAAGATGTCGGCATGACGTTGATGGTATGGGAGTTGCCGAGAGTAATGTTGAATCCTTGCTTAGCTCGCGTGAGTACATAGGCTTTGATGCTATATGTCACTCGTGCCATATCAGGTGCCATGTCGTCTTTTTCCCAGCCGCCGAGAGTGGGAGGCAGTGCCATGTGTCGTTCCCAGACATCTTCCGAGGCGGTCTTGTGGGTACATGCTTTGGAAGAGAGATGGGCTGGGATGTTGAAGATGAAGGGGAATGTATAAGTGACGCCAGCTTCAAGGACATCGTTAGGATACTCGTCGATGGGCATCTCAAGGCGAAGGAATCGATGAGATGTCATGTGCGTCATGTCAGGACCATCCCTCCGCGTCTCGCTAAGTCCATCGAGAGAAATATCAAGTCGATCGTAGCGAGTGTTTCTAGCAGGCGTGATGTTGACGACACCAGAGACTTCAGAGTTGGTGGTGTACACCTTTGAGTTGAAGTGGCCATTGATGAGGATCTGGACTTCTGGTTTCTTTGTCATTTTTCCTTTCAGAGTTGATGCCAGTGCATGTGCTGAGCCCCAAGGATGAATGCTTCCGTTTCGATGGATGCCGAGATGTTCATACTCTGGGGGAGAGGCAGGCAGTTTTGTGACCTGAACGTCAACAAACGACGGAACCTTGGCTGCCATTGTAGCTGATGGAGTTCAGAGTTTCAAGCAAAGTCAAGTGAAGCTCAGTGATGAAGATTATTTGACCAAAATCCAACTCAGCTGACCCCCCAGGATTTATATCTCTGTCTCTGCTCCTCTGCGCCCTGTTGTGATTGACCCATTGACTGATCCATCCATCCATACCATCCCTAGCTTGTTGACATGTTGTAGGGCGCATGTAAAAAAAAGGTGACATCCGATCCGACCCCGGCCTGGAAATAGATCATGGCGTAGTCATTTTTAAGCGGAAATTTTAAGCCGTGTAGAGCTAAGCTTATTTTTCGTCATTTCGAGGACGTGCTTACACCCGTTTATCCGATTGATAAGTTTGTAGACATGTTGATCTTGGGCTTTGGATTTGGAGATTTGGAGATGGACCCACTGCAGATGTTCTGTAGATGTCCACTGGGGATTTACGGCGGGTCTTGTACGTAAAAATCGAGTGATGAGAAGTTTTCTATGACATTCCTCTGCCTCTGTTCTACTCTGCTCGCTCTGTGACTGTCAAACTGTTCTGTTACTGTCTAGCTGTCTGTCCCTCATTGACTTTGCCCTTGTTTCTCATCTCACATTTGTCAGATTCATCATCTATACCCCGTCTTACGGCTGAATCCGACGTCGGCAGAAATAGCACGGCTTGACAATTCGAGTCACAGCCAGCAAAAAAAGCCACAGATTTACGCGAGACCAGACTATTTTCCTCGGGTGACCCTCCGAGACCATCACGGTAAGTTTTGACGGCATTCTCCATTATTAATCAACCACCTTGTCATGTCGACCGCGCCCTGTGAAGAGTCACTGTCAGGACAAGGTGTAACGCCCTTCGTGTCAATGTATGAGAAAAGGTATGGCGCAATATGAGAGTGTTAGTTCGATAGCAATAATTAAATGGCGGTATCAATTCAAGAGCAACATGTAAATGGCGACATGAGTTCGATAGCAACAATTAATAATGCACGTTGTGCACGAGCCTCGATGAACTTGACCGTTACCCGATGAACTTAATATCCTTGGCTGATGAATTTATGCACGTCTTCACGTGCAATGACAAAATGTTTATCTTATCTTATCTCTTATCTTTCCAAAAATTCCAGTTTGCCCCGCGATGAACACCACAGAAATTATCGCCAATCCAAATCCCCAAACACCGGGTAACCATCATCATGTCTTCAGACGCAGCGCCTCACAAGCCCATTCACAGCCTTGTACTTGATACAGGCCCTCTCATCAAGAACGACCCCCCCGCAAATACCCTCCGCGCGAAAGCTGAGCAACTCTACACCCTCCCCTGCATTATTTCCGAAATTCGAGATGCCGCCACACGAGCACGAGTAGAGACGACGCTTCTACCCTTCATCACCCTGCGATCGCCTAACCCCGAGAGCGTAAAAGTCATTCGAGACTTTGCGAGAAGAACAGGAGATTTGGCTGTCCTGAGCAAGCCTGATATTGACGTCTTGGCGCTGGGGTATGAGTTGGAGTGTGAGCGAAATGGAGGAGATTGGAGATTGAGAAAGACACCTGGTCAGAAGGGTTTGAATGGGAAGCCAAACAAACCTGCTGAGGGCGAGAAGACTGAGACTGAGGGTGAGGCAAAGACTGAGACCGAGACTGAGAAGGTCGAGGAGACTCTGGAGAAGGCTGTTGACAATCTGACCATCGAGAACCCTGTTGAGCAGGCTACGGTCGGAGAGACCAGTCAGTCAGAGGCAAAAGACACCGTCACAGAGACTGTCCCTGAGCCAGAGTCCAAGGATGAGTCAGTCACAGAGGTCACAGAGACTACAACAAACGCGATTGAAGAGACCGCAACCGCAGAGACTGCACAGCCAGGCGAAAAGGCCGACGAAACAATCGAAGCCGTTGAAGAAGCATCTGACGGCGACGCCTCTGACGATGAAGGCGGCTGGATCACACCCTCAAACCTCAAGAAGCATCAAGCAGCAGACACAGGAGCGACACCCTCAGCGCCCGTCCAAAAGACCCTCCAAGCTGCAGTCCTCACATCCGATTACGCCATGCAAAACGTCGCTCTCCGAATGAACCTCAACCTCGTCGCACCATCCCTCGCACGAATCACACATCTCAAGAACTGGGTTCTACGCTGCCACGGCTGCTTCAAGATCACCAAAGAAATGAGCAAGCAATTCTGCCCCTCGTGCGGCCAACCTACCCTCAACAGAGTCAGCTGCTCGACCGATGAGCACGGCAACTTCAAGATCCATCTCAAGAAGAACTTTCAGTGGAACAATCGTGGAAATGTCTACAGTGTTCCCAAACCAGTTCACGGGTCTGCGAATGGTCGTCTTCCAAAGAACGCGGGCGGTAAGAATGGCTGGGGAAATAATCTCATTCTCGCGGAAGATCAGAAGGAGTTTACACGCGCGGGAGAGGAGCAGAGACGTCAGAGGAAGAAGGATATCATGGATCAGGATTATTTGCCCGATTTATTAACGGGGCATCGTGCAGGAGGCGGTCAAAAGATTCGCGTTGGAGCGGGACGAAATGTAAACTCGAAGAAGAAGCACTAGTAGTTGTATTGAGACTTTTAGTCTAACGCCCAAACTGAACCGTAACGCCCGTCATGTGTGATTTATTGATCCTCTAAGACATATCAGTCAGTAATTGATCAAGAGTGAACGAGAGAGTGAGGGAGACGCACTCTGCTGAGTCAAGAGAAGCTCAAAGCGTCGCTTGAGAGTAACGCGCTGGCGCGACCACTTGTCATCGGGGGAGAAGCGCGCGGGGTGGGCGGACTTGGTGACTTGTCCTTGGGCGACCTTCTTGAGGGTGTACAGGCGATTGCCTTGGGCGTCGAGGGTGTACATAAGATGCATTTTGGCGGGTTGATGTGATTGATTGTGAGGTTTTGGTGATGCTGAGCTTTGCACTACAGAGATTGAGCAAAGAATTTTTTGACGGAGCTGGGATCACGTGCAAGGCTTATCGTTATCGGCTTGGGATAAGATGTGAATGGGGATAAAATGTGAATGGGAATAAAATTGTGGCACAAGCGTGCACTGCTAACTAACCTTACTCCGCACACAGAGTTTTGTCATCCTTGGACTCCTGGTACAGGGTTGATTTAGCGTGCATGCACTAATTTTAGGTTCTGATTATCATTACAGGGCATCAATCAGGGCATTCTTCAGTGGCTGTCGCAAAAGTTGTCGCAAAATAATCAATTCAAAATAATGTTCAAAAGCGGTCTCAAAGCTATCAAAGAGCGAAGCTATCTCAAGAAATGACAAGTACATCATGCTAGACACTCGGAAATGACAGAATCATCCATCGCATCAATGACATTCAAATGAGTCCAAATGAATCCAAACGAGTCCAAAGTCGAAATCACTTGGTAGGACTGACAGGCTCTCCAACACGAGCATTCTTGGTTCCAGCCCATCCTTCACGTTCATAGAAACGAAAGACAAGATCGTAATCCTCAAAATCGTGAACAATACGATCAATGCGTCTGTATCCTCGGACAGGGTCAACAAGACGCTTGGCAGCCCAATTGTTGGAATCATCATCACCCATGCAGTATGGGTTCTGGGCTGCACCCTTTGCTTCAAAAAGAGTGACGCTGAAACGACCAGGCTTGAAGATGTCGACAACATGTTCAATGATCTCAGTCGTGGTGCGTCCGCTCTGACCACCAGGGACGTTGGTCTCGAATGAAGCAAACGAGCACTGAGGCTCCGGGGTGACGTGAACCGTAAAGTAATGCTCACCCTTGCCGGCCTCAGGAGGGACGACGCCGTTGGCCGAGAAGCCGCAGGGACTGAACAGGTATGCGTCGACTCGCGCATCGGGATACTTGCTGGTAGGGTAGACGCTGGAGAGGCCGCAACTCTCCGAGACGACAGTTCCCAATGCGTGACCCTCAGTGGTCAGAGCCTCGATCGAGTCGAGCATGGTGTCGTCTTCATTCGCGAAAACATCAACCTCGTCAACAGTCTCGGCAAGCCCTCCGAGGCTGTTGATGGCTTCCTTGCGTGCATCCTTGGCCTCTGCAGCCATCTTGTCGCTGGCGACCGCACTCGCGTGCGACAGATAGAACTGCTTGGCGTTTTCGGGATCGAGATCCGTCATGAGGATTTCGAGCGTCTCGTCGTGGTAACTGTTCGGGAGGCCATTGAAGGACGTCCCGACGGGGATCTTGGTGCCTTCAACCTCACCAGGGGTGCGAGGGGGCGTGAGGGCTTGCTGGTTGGGTGAGGTGAGGTACAGATACCAATGATCGCCGTTCATCTTGCCTACCATATAGGCACTACCTCCGTCGAACATGTCGTCGAGATACTTGACCTCTTGCTTCCAGCTGCGGTGGGGGCCTTGCTGCTTCTCGGGGAAGAGAAAGTTTTTGCGGCTGTAGAACACTCGGTATGGAGTCGCGGCTGCTTGGATGTCGTCGGCCGAGTTGGCATTGTGGAATGGGAATCCATGCTTGGCGGCGATGTGAAGCATTCGCTGAAGACCGAGAAGGAGGGTAGTGGTTCCGCAGGTCTTGAGAATGATCTTGTGAGGAAAGACAAACATGCTCGACTCGGAGAGAAGATAGGCGTCCATCATTTCACTCTCAAGAACAGAAAGGACCTTGCAATTGACCATATCAAGCATGGGAACCCAGGTATCAGCCGGAACAGCCTTGAGACCATTGACAGGAGCAGTAGGAGGCAGAGTCGTCGGACTAGGAGCGAACCAAACCTCGAGAAGCTTCTCGGGACCTTCAAAAGCGTTGGTCGAGTCGAGGTCGGCGGCTACATCATGGTTGATTGTGAGATGAGGAGTAGCCGAGGCGGGCGAAAAGGTGCAGTTGTACGGGACGGAGGTCATGATGGCGGCGGCGGTTGGTTCAGTGTTCTTTGCCCGGTGGCAGAGTCCGCGGAGCACTAGCTGCCGCTCAAACAGACTATGCGGCGTCTGTTTGAGAGAGTAGGCCCACAGGTACGGGGACTTGTTCAGATGCTGGCGGAGCCAGC